GGAGGCTAAAACCCAGCAAGAACACAAGGTCTCATTCAAAGTGTGGGTTTCATGCCATGGCCCTGACATTGTGCCCAGGGCTTCACACCACAGGTGGTGACCATTAATACCTGCTGAACTTGACCCCCGGATTGCAGTAGTTTGAATGGAGCAGAACAGAAATGACCAGAGAATACTGCCCATCATTAGGGTAAACACTGCCCCATGAACATGTTGAATTTCTCACATGGCCTGTGAGTATCTTGGGTTGCAACACTGTAGGTGGCATTTAAAAGTCACCTCATCTCCTCTTCTTGTCAGCATGACAGGTACTTCCCGCTTGATTCAGCTGTGCAGACACCAGGTTGATGATAGGAACCTGTGTGATTGGGGTAATGACTCAATGCCATGATCTTATGGCCAACACTGTATGGAGCGGAAAGCAGTAGAACTGGCCTGGCTGCTGTGAGGAGAACCTGCAGCTTTTCAACCCCAGTGCCGGTCCCCTTCAGGTATGTGGGAATCTCTGGGCCCAGACTGGGTGTCGGGAGTCTTTACACCTTCCATGGTGATCCGGGGTGTAGCCAGGTGTTTGGTAGAGTGACCAATGCTGGCTATGATGCAGAAGCACCTCTTCCTGCCCTCCCTGCTTGAGGGCAGTGGCTGCCAGTCTGGGCCTGTGCTCCCAGCCACATGCTCCCTCCTGAAGCTCCCCTGAGGAAAGCATGTTCCCTTTTTCCCTCAAATGCATTGCAAGATCCCTCACCTTTCCCTGCTTTGTATGTCTCATCTCCAGAAACTCTGAGGCCATGGTATTAGCTCCACACACAGCAGTGTTCGGTGTTCCCAGCTTTTATTTTTGTCTGTAAGGGAAGCTGCAAAGTCGGAGGCCAGTCAGCCTCACTCCCGGGATTTGGCATGAAACAGATTCCAACTAAGGAAGGGTGAGAAGGCCCCTTTCTGACAACTTGGGCACTCCAGGGTTTTCAGTCTGGGCCCTTCCCACAGCATTCATAAATGCTCACAGAACTAATTTCCTTCAGAGGACCAGGATTGCAAGGCAGGTGCCTGTGTTAGGACCGCTCCAACGGAAAGTTCCCTGTGGTTTCTGGAGGGTGAGAGGAGGTGCAGCAAAAGGCTCCTGTTCCCCCAGCAGAGGTGATTTCATTTCTTCTTTCTACTGCTGTCTCTTCTTCTCCTGTATCTGGTAATATTTCACTTTATGCTACATATTTAAATTAAATATTCTTTGTAGAAATAAACTGACATTTTCATGTCAGGAGAGCATTTTTATTTGCTCTATGCCCGTGACTTGGGAGTGCTAAATCCCCAGGTGACATGAGACTGAACTACCGACCCTGTGGCTAACTATTGATTAATTCTGGATCACTTTTCCTCTGAAGGTTCGTCTCTTTGTGGTGCCAGTCTGAGGCAGGAAATGGTTTGCCAACTCCTCTCCTTTGGTGGGTTTCAGATTCTGACTTTTGTCCCTTTGTCCCACAAAGCCAGCAAAAACATAACTGGGCCTCTCTTGGCCTTTTCTGCCTCAGTAAATGGTCAAGGACTGAAGCAATCCTCTCAGCTTTTCACAGATCTCTGGGTGTTTGGTCTTTCCCAGATCTTAGCTCTGTAACTATGAAGTCAATAATGTTCTTAATATTATTTATTTATTTATTTATTTATTTTGAGTTGGAGTCTCACTCTGTCGCCCAGACTGGAGTGCAGTGGCCGCTCCCGGCCATCGCAGCCTTGACCTGCTGGGCTCCGGTGATCCTTCTGCCTCAGCCTTCCGAGTAGCTGGAATTACAGGCGCACGCTACCACGCCCGGCTAATTTTTTGATTTTATTGTAGAGATGAGGTCTTGCCTGCCTAGGCGGGTCTCGAACCCACGGGCTCAGGCAATCCACTCACCTCAGCCTCCCAAAGGCACGGGATTACAGGCTGAGCCACTGAGCCCGGCGGTCTTAATATTATAATATTTAAGAGTCTTTCATCCCACTTTTCTAGTTGTCTTTCAGGGAAGTGTTTGCTCTGCATTCACAGTCCACAATGACAAGCTGCAGAACTCCAGGATGCCATGAGTGTGCTGGGTGTTGACAGAAATCCCTGCTTTATCCCCAGCCTCTGGGGTCCAGCTTGCACCTGGGAACAGGTAGATAATAGCATCTCCTCCCATGTCTCCCTTTGCTGGGAGACCTTCCTTGCCTCTGAATTTCTATTATTCTTCCTGATTCAGGCTAATGTAGCTCGGGGAGACCAGGAAATGGAAAGCTAGCCTCAGGTGAGACAGTTAGGAAAGTGTTTCTTGCCTCCATTCCTCCTCCCTCCATGGAGAAAAGGGGTTCACCGCATGAATGGGGAGGAGTGACCAGAAATGCATCTTAAGGGGATTGTTGAGTATCTGTGGGATATTCAATCATATTCCATTAACAAACCTTGTGTATATATTGTGTACTACGTGCTATATGGAAATCCCAAAAGGGTGCATCACTCTTGGACTGGTATGAAGAAAGAAACGACACAGTAATCTGAACAAGGAAAGCTTAATATAGAGGGGTATGAAGTATTACAGAGGTTTGAAGTAATGAGTGACTCATCAGTAAGTAACAAATACAATTCTAAACAATATATGAATTACAACTACAACTAGCAGGCACCATCTGCAGGGCTGAGATAGCGTGTCCAAGACTCACTGACTGGCAGACAAATCACTGTGGTGCTGCACTGGTGCACCTTCCTGTAAATCCATTTTCTGGAACTTGCTGGAACTCCTCCCCCCAGAACTTGATGGAAAAATGCCCTCTGCAAAGTATGGGAAACCTAGAATTTGTCTCTAGAATTTGCCGGAAATCTGCCCTCTAGGGTACTGGGAAAGCTGCACTTTGCAACACTCATGGAGTACATGGGAACCAGGAGGCAACACCCTTTCCTCCTACAGTCTCTCTCCAGCACCTCCTACTGACTCAAGCTTAATTGTGCTACTGGTAAAGGGCCAAGTTTTGAAAGGGCCCACATCCATTTTCTTGAGAAAGCAAAAATGGGTGATGTTGGAGCTGGGAGGCAAGACATCAAGAACCAGCATTGTGCACTCATTCCAGTCCTCAGTTTCTCTACGCATTCTCCTATACACATTTACCTTCTTGTACATCAGCAAAACAACTCTGCATTTCTACCTAATAAGATACACCTTTCCTGTTTTATTATTTATTTTTTAGAGACAGAGTCTTGTTCTGTAGCCCAGACTGGAGTGCAGTGTTGAACTCATACCTCACTACAACCTTGAACTCCTGGGCTCAAGTGATCCTCTGCCTCAGCCTCCCGAGCAGATGGGACTACAGGCGCACACCACCATATCCGGCTAATTAAAAAAATTATTTTTAGAGACGGGGATCTTGCTATGTTGGCTGGTCTGGAACTCCTGGGCTTAAGTGAGTCTCCCGCTTCAGCCTCCCCAAAGGGTTCAGATTAAAGGCATTAGCCAATGCGCCAACCAGGGACTCATTGCAAAAGTGACTTGTTTTTGGATGTGTTCCCACAGCCGTCCTTGGACGTAAGTGTGCAACCCGGAAAGCATGAGAAAGTCTGAACTCGATTCTCTTACATCAGATTTTTAATGACGCGCTATGTGTGGAGGGCATGTTGGGAAGGGCTGCTACACTGAGGGCTATCAATTCATGTATACGACGCGGAAACATATATAGAAAAGTACTCTTGAAACAGCGGGTAGAAGTGGAGGAGGCGCCCTGCCCCCAGAGCTGCGCACACGCCGAGCGTTACTGCGCAGCCGCAGAACTCTCTCAGGCTGTGTTTGTCGCGCTCTGTCTGCTGGCGTCTCAGTCCATTCAGATGCCTCGTGTGCAGTCGGGACACGAACATAGCGCAGACGCCGTCCTCAGACGCCCAGAGCCCAGGTCTCGCCATCGCACAATGTCGGATCAACTGGGTGAGGGGCCCTTCCCACAGCTGTCCCCCTAGCTTCAGCTTCAGGCTCTGACCGAGTTGAAACCGTGGTCGCCTAGATGGCCACGCGGGCGACTGTAGGATTGGCTGGTTGTTGGCCAGGGCGTGTTCGTCGGTGGTTTCTGGGCGCTGGCCACTGACCACCCATTGGTCAGCGGAGCCGGTTCCGATTGGTCATTGCGGGCGTGGGAACCGGGGCAGAATGGGAATGGCCGGCGTCTAGGGCGTCTCAGGAGCTCAGGATGTCCCCGAAGCTCGTGGTGACCCCGGGACTAGTGGCGGCCCCGGGGCTCGCAGCCTCCCAGGGACTCATGGTAAAGCTGGGGCTTGTGGCGTCCTCCGAGCTCGAAGTATCCCCGATGCTAGCCGTGATCCTGGACCTCGTGGCGCCCCTTGGCTAGCAGGCTCCCAGGGACTTGAGGTGACCCCGGGGGCTCGTGGCGTCCCCGTGGCTCGTGGTCTTCCAGGACTGGAGGTGATTCAGGGGCTCGTGGTGCCCCTGTTGCTTGCAGCCACCTTGGGGTTCCTAGCCCTCTAGGGGCTTGTGGTGAACCAGGGGCCCCGTGGCGTCTCTAGGGCTCACAATCTCCCAGGGACTCGTAGTGACCCTGTGGCTCTCGGCTACCCTGGGGCTCACAGTCTCCCAGGGGTTGGAGGTAACTCTGAGGCACGTGGCGCCCCTGTGCCTTGCGGCGACCCTGGGGCTCACAGTCTACTAGGGACTTATGGTGAACCTGGGGCTTGTGGCGCCCCTGTGGCTTGCGGCGACCTTGAGGCTTGTAGCTTTCCAAAGGCTTGTTGTGAACCTGGTCCTCATGGCGTCCCTGGGGCTCACAAACTCCCAGAGACTCGAGGTGACCCTGTGGCTCATGGTTACCCTGGGGTTCGCAGCCTTCGGGGACTGGTGGCGAGCGCACGTCGAGGGGCTTAGCCTGGTTTCCAGCACGAGGCCCGCGGTTCCTTCCAGAGCCTCGATTGGCCATGAAACAATCGTTGGTTGCAGTCGCGATCTGAAGGCAGAGCCACCGTGAGCAGTTTCCCCGTCCCCCAGGAGGGCGGCATGGCGGGCTGTGGCGCCCCAGCAGCTCCTTCCAGCCGCACTTTTCCTAGAACTTTTCTTCTTTTTCCCCCTCATGTTCTTCCAGGAAGCATAACCCTGTTGAGCGATTTGGTTGTGTGGCAAAAAACCAGTAAATCTTTTTTGAGAACCTCCCTGAGGGGAGGTGACTTGCTTTGCGGGGATGAGCAAGGTTGCACTTTGCAGCCTCCAATTACCCCTTCAACCCCCCATTCCCCCACCTCCGGCCAGCACGTGTGAGCTTTAGATTTGGCAACTTCTAAGTACGTGGTGCTGACTTTGTGGGACGAGCTGAACTTTTTCAGCCTTTCTCTTCCTTGGTGGAGGCGGGCGGGGACGAGGAAGGAACTAGACGTTTAGAGTTTTGAGTTTAAAGAGTTGACGCACTCACGAGTTGGTTCATAGAAAACTTTTTGAGATTGAGATGCAGATGTGAAGGCTATGTTGGTGACTGCGTTTGATCAGAGACAGATTGGGCCGCCTCGTTGTTTTATTGTAAATACACAAAAGAGGGAAGATAATAACAATGGAGGGTGTCCAGGAGAAGCCCCGCGGTAGCGCTTGCTCTCTGCTTCAAGAGGGCAGACGCTAGAGTCAAATCCCGCAAAATGCGGGCGTTTCTCAGAAAAGGCTCTAATGTGTTTTGTTGGGGTTGATTCCTTTCCTCTTCTACCTGGCTGTGCCCGTTTTTAGACTGCTCCAGGGTTTTCTAACATGAAGCGGTAAACGGGTTTAATGTGTACAGACGGCGATTTTCCCAGCAACGTTTCTGCACGGTATTTTCTGAAGCTGCATAGGGTCTGGATGTGTCTTGAGCCGCACTTGTCTGGTCTGCTGCAAGTGCTGGGAGGTGGGACACAATCTGGGCTGCGTTAGCCGCCATCTGGCCCACGTTGCGGTCTCTAAAGTGTGTATGAACAATGGAAGGGCTACGAGATTTAGAAAGCGATTGGTGTTAACACTCTGTTTTGATTTTTAAAAATGGAGCGATCTGGCTGTTGTAATCTGCCCTGCTTTGCTGTGTGTTCCTTGAGATGGTCCTGGGATAAGACGTCCTTTTCAGCCCTCCTCATTGGGAAATCTGACTCATCTCCAAAGTTGTTGTCAAGTGAATGCCTTGAGCTTTGGGCGGAGGACCTTAAAAAAAAAACAACAAAAAACAAACTTCTAAAATGTTATAGTGTCTTTTAAAATTTGATAAGGAAGGCTATGTGTATTCCTAAAACAATTAGTTGGAATTTTACACATTTACTGAGAACTGTAGTGGAGTTGTCAATAGCTTTACTAGCTCTAGTTTGAAAATTCTGTTGTTATACAAAAGCTTGTCTTAAAAATAAAATTTCAATTGCTTTTGCTATCTTTTTCTGATGAGAAAACCTAAAGTTTGTTGTAGAGAATGTACAGAGAAGTTTAATGAGGATACTGATTTTGCTACTCAGAGATAACTATCCAGATAATCATTGGTATGCAATTCTTGGCTCAAAGTTAGGATTATACTATATTTGTCTGTTTCAGATCTTTTCTCCCCTTTGACATTATTCATAAGCATTTCTAATACCAGTAAATCTTTTTTGAGAACATGTGTCTTCTCATTGGCAAAATACCATTCCAGTTGAGGGAAATACCAAAATTTATTTAATCCTTTTGTTCAGATAATTAGATAGCTTATAATGTTTTGGGTTTTTTTCCATGAAGATTATTAAACAGAGTGTAGAGTGACTTCAAACCCAAACCCACGTTTTATGGATGACAAAATAGAGGCAAAAGAGTTGATGCATTTGGTCCAAAGGTCATAGCTCTGGATAACTACAGAGCCTGAATTGGAATCTTTATCATGTGATTCCTAATTTAGTCCTATTTTTGTATCACCACATGCCCCTTATACTAGCTAATTACTTTTTTCTTGTGCTTTGGTCCATTTGAAATAAATATAGTGAATCCAATTTATGTTTCAATGTAAATACTTCAAGCTTAAATATGTTCTTTTTCAGGTTAGCTTTAAGAAATAAAAAAGTCCATTTTTATTTCAGTCATTTTGCATAATATATTGTCTTTCATATTCGTTAAAATAGTTTACAGAGTTGATAACTCACATCTGGGTTACCTATTTCACATTTTATGTGATTCAATTTGAATTTAATTTGTTTCATAACAGCATTTACTTTTGCACTTTATTTCTGCATTATCAATCATAATAAATATTAGTAATAATTTTTAGAGGACAAGTTTGGAAATTCATGGTCACCACAAATGTGGCTGTGTAACGCCAGTTGAATCTTTAGGTTGAAAGCTTATCATTGAATACTATAGTATGGACCAGGTGGCCACATTTCTTAAGTAAGAAGTTTATTGCTCCACAAAATTGGAAGTACTAGAAATAATACTCTGTGTCTACATACATACTTACATATTCCCAAGCTTCCTACGAAGCAATTGATTTGTTAGTTAACTTATAATGATTAAAGATATAAAAATACTTAATACGAAATTCCAGCTAAAATACTTTTGTGTGTGTGTGTGTTGGAGTCTCTCTCTGTCACCCAAATTAGAGTGCAGTGTGGCATGCTCACGGCCACCCCAGTGTCAACCTGCTGGACTCAGGCGATCCTTCCGCCTCATCCTTCCAAGTAGCTGGAACTATAGGCGCACGCTACCATGCCTGGCTAATTTTTTGATATATTGTACAGATGAGCCCAGGTCATTCTTGAACCTGTGGGCTCAGACAATCCCCCACCTCATCCTCCCAAAGTGCTGGGATTACAGGCTTGAGCCACCACGCCTGGCCAAAAATCTATAACTTTATACTTTCCTCTAGGAACTGTTTATTTAATGTGGTATCTAATCTAAACTTTCTTTTTGTTTACTCTTAGATTATATTACTGTAACTCTTGAAGGTGACAGTGATGGTAGCGTCGTTGATACTGATGATACTGATGATGACAACGTTTCAATGATAGAAGATTCTGAGAGAGCAGTTACTGAGAACAGATTTTCCACTTATAACATGCTGACTATGCAACCAAATTTTCAAGGCAGCAGTGATAACTATCAGCATCCATCCCAAATGTCATATGGTAATTTTGCTACATTTCCTCCTGGATGAAATTTTGCTCTCTGGTTCCCATTTCCAGTAAACTGCTAACTATTCCTATAAACTTTACATTAATTAATAATTACCAGAGGGCCTGGCATGGTGGTAATACCACGATGTTTACTTCTGCTTGCATTTTACCTTCACTTAATCTTTGCCATATTTTCTTTTCTCTTTTTGCTCTGTGTGTGGAGTGACAATCTCAGAAAGCATTGGGGATAATATCTTCTCTGCTTCTGAAAAATAGTTTATATCTGATGACTGTAATTGAAACAATTTGGTAGCAAAGCAAAAGTGAAAGCCTAAGACTGAATTTATGGGGATAACAGTTATCAAGAGTCCATGGAGCAGATGACATGATTATCTATGTAGAAAGTCTCACAGAATCAACATAAATCTCCTGGAACTAATAAGTGGTTATGGCAAGATTCTATCTCCTTCAACTAATAAGTGATTATAGCAGGAAACAAGGTTAATACATACTAGGTAATCACTTTTGTATATTATATATCAGCAATAAACAGCTGAATTTTGAAATTAAAAACACGATACTATTTACATCAGCACCCAAAGGGGTATGTGGAGAGTGGAGTCCTGCAACCAGAACTGCTGTAGCTACGTGCCCTTCCAGTGGTTGCTTCCTCACCACAGTAATGAGGGAGCATGAGGCCCTTTGTCTACTCACTTGTACAGAGAGCCAAGAGACATTAACCCCTTGGAATATTTCATCCATAGCTACATGACAATTTGTTCTTTGCCCTTTGACTAGAGAATTGGGTTTACTACTCTTTAAAACATTGAAATATTATTATTGCCTAGTTGGAAGTTGGCAAACTTTTTCTATAGGGGCCAGATAGTAAATATTTTAGGCTTTTCAGGCTGTAAGATCTCTGCCTTAAGTATTTAACTCTGCCTTTGTAGCATTAAAGCAGCTGATATGAAAGCAGACGGTTGTGGCTGTGTTTCAGTAAAACTTTAAGGCCACTAGAATTTGAATTTCCTATAAGTTTCCCATTTAATGAAATATTGTTTTTCCACAATCGTTTAGAAATGTTCAAAGGTCCTCAACATTCTTAGCTTGTGGGCTATACAAAAACAAGTGGCAAGGTGGATTTGGTCTATAGGCTGTAGTTTGCTGACTCCAACAGCCCTCCTTAGTGGGAAGAAACTTGAAGAGGATTTTCCAATGTGGATACCAACTCATTGCTTCTACTTGTGGGAATTTATCCCTTAGAACTACTTACAGACGTGCAAGGATTTTGGCAGCATTCTTTGCAAGAGCAAAACTTTAGAACTAAATTGAATATCCATGAATTGGGGACTAGTTACATAAATTTTGGCTTATCTGTGTGACAGAAAACTGAGGAGTTGTTAAAGTGATTGCAGTATATCTAATGGTATTGGTTTTGAGAGATCTATACCTGTTCAGTAAAAAAAAAAAAAAAAAGAGGTTGGAGAACAGTAATTTATAGTCTGTTTCCTTTTATCTATCCAACTGACGGAAAAAACTCAGAACAGATTTCAGAAAAGGTAGCCAGGTAATTTTTTTATTGTGGTAAAATATACATAACAAAAATATTTATCATTTTAACCATTTGTAAGTATACAATTCAGTGACATTAAGTACATTCACAGTGTTATATGACTATCACCACTATCCATACCCCAAACCTTTCTGTTATACCTAACATAAACTCTGTACCCATTCGACAACAACTCCCTTTCTCTTCAGCCCCTGGTAACCTCTGTGCTACTTTCTGTCTCTATGAAGTTGCCTATTTCAGGTACCTTGTGTAAGTGGATTCATACGATATTTGTCCTTTTGTGTCTGGCTTATTTCACTTAGCATGTTTTTGGGGTCCATCTATGTTGTAGCATGTGTTAGAATTTCATTCCTTTTTTTTTTGAGTTGGAGTCTCACTCTGTGGCCCAGGCTGGAGTGCAGTGGCTCACTCACAGCTGCCCCAGTGTTGATCTGCTAGGCTTCGGTGATTCTTCTGGTTCAGCCTTCCAAGAAGCCGAAACTACAGGCGCATGCTACTGTACACGGCTAGTTTTTTGATTTATTGTAGAGATGAAGTCTCACCAAGTTGCCCAGGCTGGTCTCGAACCCGTGGACTCAGGCAATCCACTCGCCTTGGCCTCCCAAAGTACAAAGATTACAGGCTGAGCCACAGAGCCCAGCCAGAATTTCATTCCTTTTGAAAGACTAAATAATATCCCATTGTTTGTATCTGTGACATTTTGTTGATCAGTTAATCTGTTGGTGGACATTTGGTTGTTTCTACCTTTTAGTTGTTGTGAATAATGCTTCTATGAACATTGGAGTACAACTATCTGTTCAAGTTTTTACTTTTAATTCTTAGGGGCATATATCTTAAAGTGGAATTGCTGGATCATATGATAATTCCATTTGATTTTTTGAGGAACTGTCATACTGTTTTCCACAACTGTTGCACCATTTTATATTCCCAGCAGCAAATTCACGAGGATTCCAGTTTCTCCACATGCTCATCAGCACTTGTTATTTTCATTTTTTTTTCATTATAGCCATCCTAGTGTGTGTGAAGTAGTATCTGATTGTGGTTTTTATTTTATTTTATTTTAAAGTTGTGGGATACAACTCAGGGTTAGGTTTACAAATGTTCATTATGCAGGTACCCTTGTTGATGAGGTGTGTCCCTCCCTCCCCTGGCAGTTTCTCTCAACTGCCAATTCTACCCCCGTCCCCTGGCAGTTTCCTATTACTGCCAATCCCTTTTTAAAATAGTTTTATGATAATTTTTCAAGGTCTGCTTATGAGTGAGAACATGTGGTACTCTGTTCTTTGTTTCTGTGACAGATCACTGAGTATGGTCGACTCTAAATCCATCCAAATTACTGTGAAGTCCATATGTTTTTCCTTCTTTATGGTTGCATAATATTCCATTGTGTATATGAACCACATTTAAAAAAAACCAGTCCAGTTTCGATGGGCAACATGGTTGGTTCTATGTTTTTGCAATTGTGAATAGAGCTGCAAAAACATGCGTGTGGAGGTATCTTTTTTGTGGAATGATTTGAGTTCCTCCGGGTATATTCCAATAGGGGAATTACTGGGTCATATGGAAGGTCAATTTCTAGTTCTTAAATCGCCACACTGTCTTCCAAAGAGGTTGTACTACTTTGCATTCCCACCAGTAGTGTAGAAGCATTCCTTTCTCTCCGCATCCTCACCAGCATCTGTTGTGGTTTGTTTTATTAATGATGATCATTCTTACTGGGGTTAGTTGGTATCTCAATGTGGTTTTGATTTACATTTCTCTGATGATGAGTGAGGCTGAGCACTTTTTCATGCGTCTGTTGGCCACCCGTATATCTCCTTTTGAGAAATGTCTATTCATGTCTTTTGCCCACTTTTTTTTTGAGTTGGAGTCTCACTCTGTCACCCAGACTGGAGTGTAGTGGCCACTCCCTGCCACTGCAACCTCGACCTACTAGGTGCTGGCGATCCTTCCACCTCAGCCTTCCGAGTAGCTGGAATTACAGGCATGTGCTACCATGCCCGGCTTTTTTTTTGATTTACTGTAGAGATGAGGTCTCGCCAAGCTGCCCAGGCGGGTCTTGAACCCGCGGGCTCAGGCAATCCACTCACCTCAGCCTCCCAAAGCGTGGGATTATAGGCTGAGCCACCAAGCCTGGCTGTTTTTGCCCACTTTTTAATGGGGCTCTTTGGTTTTTTCTTTTTGGCACGTTTGAGTTCCTTGTAGATCCTAGATGTTAGTCCTTTGTCAGATTTATAGTTGGCAAATATTTTTTCCCATTCTGTGGGCTGTCATCCTGCTCTCTTGATGGTTTCTTTGGCTTTGCAGAAGATTTTCAGTTTGATGAGGTCCCTATCTTATCTTTTATGGCATGAACACTTGGGGTTTTGATTAGGAATTGGTTGCTAGTTCCAATTTCCATAAGGGTGTCTCCTGCATTTTCTAAGGTTCTTATAGTTTGAGGTTTTACATTTAGGTCTTTGATCTATTTGGAGTTGATTTTTGTGTATGGTGATAGGTAGGGTTCTGTTTCATTCTTCTGCATGTGGTCAGCCAGTTTTCCCAGCATCATTTACTGAATAGGTTCTTCTCTCCCCAGTGGTGGTTGTTGGAGGCTTTGCCAAAGATGAGTTGGTTGAGAAATTGAGACTTTGCTTTTAGAATCTCTATCCTGTTCCATTGGTCTATATGCCTGTTCTTGTACCAATACCAGTTTTTATTACTGTAGCCTTATAGTAAAGTTTGAAGTCTGGAAGTGTGTATTTCACCTGTCTCTGTGATGCTGGGGTGCCAGATCCTGGTGAAGAATTTTACTTTGGGAGGCACCATGTTGTATACATCGGGAACTTCAGTTTCAAACTGAAATTTTCCACCCAGGTAATAAACCCTCATTGGGGGTTATAGTTAGCTGAAAGCAATGAAGCTTGTTTGGATCAGGAAAATGCACTTTGCTATGTACAAGGTAAATTAGCTTCAAGTTCTGCAACCTCCCGTTTAGCAGTGATTTGTGTCTGAGAAGGCCAAACACAGTGCATTTATACGCAGCAGCTCCCCGGCTGTTAGATTCCTTCAGGACATACAAATGTAGTATGTTGTCTACGTTTAACAATCAGCTTGTCTTTCACAGAAACCCTCCGAGTGGAGTCAGACGCTGTGACTGACGTCCGTGACCCTTTGAGATCGTCATCACACTTCAGTTTGCTTGCTAGCGTTAGCATCAGTGCTGGCTTTACCCTGGCCACCGGGAGACAGGCGGGGCGGGCCTGGCGCCCAATACCATGCTCGGCCTGGGCGGCGACTGCGAGAAGCGGTCCCTGAGGACCGCACCAGATCCTGGCGGCGGGCTGGTTGAGGTTTCTATTTGCATTTCCTTAATGACTAAGGATGTTGAGTATCTTTTCCTGTACTTATTGGCCATTTGCTTGTCGTCTTGGAAAAATGTCTATTTATAAAATCTTTTGCCCATTTTTAAATTGGGTTGTTTGTTATTCGTTGTTGAGATTTAGGAGTTCTTTATATTCTGGATATTAATCGTTAATCAGAGATGTGATTTGCCAATAAGTTCTGCCATTCTGTAGGTTGTCTTTTTGCTTTCTTGATAGTGTTCTCTGATGCACAAAAGTTCTCAATGTTGAAGTCCAATTTATTTTTTTTCTTTTGTTGCATGTGCTTTTGGTGTCTGTGCATGAGATTACTGACAAATTCAACGTCATGAAGATTTTCTTCAATGTTTCTTCTAAGAGTTGTATAATTTTAGTACTTACATTTAGTTGTTTGATCTATTTCGAGATACTTTTTGAAGTTGATATAAGGTAAGGGTCCAACTTTATTCTTTGGTATGTGAATATCCAGTTTTCTCTGCACCATTTGTTGAAAAGACTGTCCTTTCCCCAATGAATGTCAAAAGTCAATAAAGGACTTATTTCTGGTATCTCTATTCTATTCCATTGGTCTATCCATATATCCGTTTTTATGTCAGTATCATACTGTTTTGATTACTGTAACTTTGTAGTAAGTTTCAAAGTCAAGAAGTATGAGTCTTTTTTCACTTTTCCCCCCCAAGATTGCTTTATTTGAGATCTCTTGCAATTCCATGTAAATTTGAGAATTGACTCTTCCATTTTCATGAAAAAGGTTGTTGAAATTTTGATAGAGATTGTGCTGAATCTGTAGATTACTTTGGGTAGTATTGACATATTAGCAACGTTAAGTCTCTTTCTACCCATGAACATGGGCTGTCTTTCTATTTTTTTCGGTATTTAATTTCTTTCAGCAAAATTTGTAGTTTACAATATATAATTCTTTCATCTTCTTAGATTTATTCCTAAGTATATTCTTCTAGACACTACTGTAAATGGAATTGCTTTCTTAATTTCCCTTTTGGATTGTTCATAGCTGGTGTATAGAAACACAGCTGATTTTTGTGTGTTGATCTTGTACCTTGCAGTTTTGCTGAATTTGTATATTAACTCTAGTAGCTTTCTTGTGGATTCTTTGGGATTTTTTGTAGACAGGATCATGTCATCTGTGAATGGAGATAATTATTATTAACACTTTTTTATTTTAAAGATGTGGGGTACAATTTAGGGTTAAGTATACAGATGTTCATTATGCGGGTACCCTTGTTGACGAGGTGTGCCCCCCTCCAGCAGTTTCCCATTACTGCCGATCCCACCCCTCCCCTCCTCTGGCAGTTTCCCACTACTGCCAATCCCTTTCTTATAGTATTATGAATTGTTCAGGGTCCACTTATGAGTGAGAATATGTGGTACTCTTCTTTGTTTCTGTGATAGATCACTCGACATTATAGACTCTAAGTCCAATTTGCTGTGAAGTTCATAATTTTGTCCTTCTTTATAGCTGTGTAATATTTCATTGTAAGTACCACATTTTTTTAATCCAGTGAATGGAGATAATTTTACCTCCTTCTTTCAAAGTTGAATGTCTTTTGTTTCTTATTCCTGCCTAATAGTTCTGGTCAGAACTTTAAGTAGAATATTGAATAGCAGTGGTGAAAGCAGGTATCCTGTCTTGTTCCTGATGTTAGAGGGAAGGCTTTCAGTCTTTTGCCATTGAGTATGATACTGGTTGTACATTTTTAATGAAAACTCTTTATTGGGTTTCAGAACTTTCCATCTATTCCTACTTTTCTGAAAATTTTTATCATGAAATGTTGGATTTTGCTAAATGCCTTTTCTGCATCAATTGAGATGATGTGCTTTTTTCTTTTATTCTATTAATGTGATATATTACACTGATTTTCTTATGTTGAAGCACCCTTGCATTCCTGGGATAAATCTACTTGGCCACGGTGAATAATCTTTTTAATATGATGTTGAATTCGATTTGCTAGTGTTTTGTTAAGGATTTTTTGGCATTTATATTCACCAGGGATATTGGTCTGTAATTTTCGTTGCTTGTGATGTCTTCGTCTTCCTTTGGTATTAGGGTAATTCTGGCCTCCTAGAATGAGTTAGAAAATGTCTTTTCCTCTAATTTTTTGGAAAAGTTTGAGAAGAATTGGTGTCAGTTCCTCTATAAAAGTTTATTAGAATTCACCACTGAAGCCGTCTGGTCCCGTGTATTTCTTAGTTGGGCGGTTTGTGATTACTGGTTCAACCTTTTGTTATAGGTCTGCTTAGACTTTCTATTTCTTTTTGAGTCAGTTTAGCTAATTAACTTTATTGAGTTATGAGAACAAATTGTTTCTCATATAACTGCATTAATAAGTTAGAAAATATATAGGAAAAAATACTCAATTGATAATGACAATGAAATATATTTAAAAATTCTAAGGAACAAATGAATAAAAATAGCAGAACCTATATGAAAGCAACATGACTACTTTATTGAGAGTCATGAAATAAGACTTGAGTAAGTGGAGAGACATAAATTTTCCTTGGATGTGAAAAAACATTCTAGTATAGCTTGAAAAAATATCTTGGAAAAACCTATTTAAGGGACAGGTGTTGATTTAGCATATCAAACACTAAAACATGTCAAAGGTACAATTCTTAAAATATTGTCGTATTAGTTCTGAAATAGGGAGCAAGATTTAATGTGAGAGAAGCTCATAAACAAAACAAAGGATTTCGAGTTAGCTTACTGTAGTGCATTACTATGTAAAGGGTGGAGAGAGTAAATCATGCTGGGACAGATGCTTAACTATTGGGGGGAAAACTCATTAGATTTCATCTCATATTAACACACTTACATAATTTCGAGATGGATTAAAGAGTCGAATATCTAATAAGTAGGAGTATGGAAAAACCAGAAGAAAATATAGTTGGATGTTTTCTCTAGTAAAAGATTAAGTATAAAAGCAGTTTAAGAAATCACAAAATATTAACAATTTTGATGAAATAAAAACAAACCCCTCCCTATCTCAAAAACATCAAGCTTTAAAATCACATCTTTACCTGAGAGGAGTATTTGTGGCAATTATATATTTTCGAGGAGTATTTGTGGCAATTATATATTTTCAAGGGTTATTGTCTTGAAGCTAGCAAGACCTCACACAACTCAGACAGGAAACATTCAGACCTCAATTGGGCAATGAGCAGGGGACACCCAAAATAACAATGTACAGAACAATAAATATTAGTGAATAGAAAACATATGAAAAATATTCAGCTGCATTCATAATGAGAGAAATGCAAATTAAAATGGGATACAGGCTCTAAACTTTCATCTAGCAAGTTAGCAATTTTAAAAAGGTAATTCACTTTGGTGATAATTGAGAAAAACTGTTGCATTGCAGTTCTCTTGAAATGTAAATTAGTATGACCTTTTTCAGCATTTTGGCCACACCTCATCTATGTTGCCTAGGCTGGTCTCAAACTCCTGGGCTCAGGCGATCCTCCTGCCTCAGCCTCCCAAAGTGCTGTAACTACAGGTATGAGTCACTGTGCCTGGCCTTTAAATAATTTTCAAATTAATACGTGCATATAATCAGCATCCATACCAAGCAATACAAAGTTACGAGCTCCCCAGAATCCACTGAATCCACTCCTGTCTTTTTTTTTTTTTTTTTTTGGCAGAGTTTATTAAGAGGACCGAAAAGCTCCAATAGTGGGAGGGGACCTGGGGGGGTTGCCCCACTCCCGTCCTTTTAGTCACTACCCCTCTATAAGGTAACCACTCTCCTGACTTCTGACTTCTCCCATCATGGATTATTTTTGCCTGTTTTTGAGTTTTATCGCAATGGAATCATACACCATATTCTCTTTTATTTTACGTCTGGCTTTTTTTTTTTTTTTTTTTTAAAGAAACGGGTTCTCACTATGTTACCCAGGCTGGAGTGCGGTGGCATGATCATAGCTCACTGCAGCCTCAAACTCCTGGGCTTAAGTGATCCTCTCACCTCAGCCTCCCAAATAGTTGCGACTATAGACATGTACCACTACGCTCAGCTTATGTCTGGCTTTTTATTTTTTTATTTTTTTGAGTTGGAGTCTCACTCGGTTGCCCAGTCTGGAGTGCAGTGGCCGCTCCCGGCCACCGCAGCCTCAACCTGCTGGGCTCCAGCGATCCTTCCGCCTCAGCCTTCCAAGTAGCCGGAATTACAGGCATGCGCTACCATGCCTGGCTGATTTTTTGATTTGTTGTAGAGATGAGGTCTCGCTGCCCAGGCGGGTCTCGAACCCGTGGGCTCAGGCAGTTCACTCATCTCAGCCTCCCAAAGGCACGGGATTACAGGCTGAGCCACCGAGCCTGGCTTGTCTGGCTTTTTAAACTCAGGGTTTTGGTTGTGAGATTCATCCTTGCTGTTTGAAGCAGTAGTTGATTTATTTTCATTTCTCTGAGTTCCTTTGCATAAATACACCACAATTTAATTACTCATAGTTGTGTTTGTTTTATAGTCACAAAACCCCAAATATATAGGAAAAATAAAAATTGGCTTAAAAAATAAAAATTGGTTGAAGTTATACCTCAAATTGGAGATATTTTATAATTTGAAATTTACATAATATTACTCTGCATTTATCTAACTGGAGAGTTGATTGTCCCATCTTCTTTATTCCCATTTGATTTCTCTCTTTTGAATCCTTGGTCATCAGTGTCCCCACTATAGAGTAAAAGAGAACAGGAAAGAGATGAAGCCTTTTAGCTGAATCCCATAACCGAAACTTCGTAATTCTAGATTGTGTGACTGGCATATAACATTGATTTATTTAGGTTTAATATACAATTTAGCTAATAAGGCAAGCTGATTGACTTGAAGGTTGAAATGGACCTTAGATATCATCTCTACTGGTGTTCACTTGGCAGATGAGGAGGTGGCGTCTACAGTGGTCTACCCAGGCCACATAGTGGTGTGGGTCCAATCTGGAGCTCCCATCAGGCTGACCTTTTGGAGGCATGCTGCCTCCTAAGTCAGGAGCCCTTTGAGCTCCTTTGCAACAACAGTCAGTCATGGTATTCTCTTGTTCATTTGTTTCTAGCATTGACTCTGTAGAATTTAAGTTACGAAGCATTCACTTCACAAATTGGAATTGCATTTGATTTGATTTTTATTCCAAGTCACTGACAATATAGCCATTCAGATTTTAAAGGCTTATTCTAAATGCTCATGGAAGAATTCTTGTTTTGTCACTCTTTAAAAGTCAACCCAAACTCCAGTTCAAGTTAGCATTCTGAGAGCGTAGATATCGTAAGCTTATTAAGATAGCAAGTGTGTGAAGTAACCTTTTTATTTGTTGCTTTTCAGGAGGTGAGGGCTTAGTAGTCCAAGGTAACCAAGCAGTTTCACAGAAGAACTGCCCAGCAAATTTTAAAAGATACAGTTCCAGCTCACGGATCTCACTGTCCAAAAGGAGACGATTATCTACTCAAAGGGAGAAGAATATGGTTTGTATATTAAAGTAAAAATCTTTCTTTGTTCTTCTCATTCTGCTGTATTTCTTTTTAAAAAAAACTGAGATGAATTTCATACAGTAAAATGCACAGATGTGAAGTGTACAGTTCAATGAGTTTTGATAAATATGTATATTTACACCCCATGAAGATAATGAACATTTTTTATCACCCTAGAAGGTAACTTCAGATTTCTTCCCAATAAGTCCCTACCTCCCTTGACCTTGAGGGAGATACTATTCCGATGTTTTTTTTCCATCCTAAATTAGTCTTGTCTGTTTCAGAGCATCATATAAATAGAATTGTACAGCATGTACTCTTTTGTGTTACAGTCTGCTTTCTTTAGAATAATGTTTTGGAGATTTGTTTCATAATATCAATATTCCATTCCTGTTTATTGCTGAGTGGTATTCTCTTGTATGAATATCCATAATTTGTTTATCCATTCTTCTGATGGACATTTGAGTTGTTTCCAGTTTGGCGCATTAATGAGTAAACTGACTGTGAACATGCTTATCTCTTTGTGAACTTATGTTTACATTTACTTTGGCTAAATACTTGGGAATAGAAATATTGGATCATGAGGTAGATGAAAATTTATGAGAAACTGTCAAACAGTTTTTCAGAGTGATTAGACCACTTTATATTACCACCATATTCAGCTCCACCATATTCAGCTGTTTTTGATCTTTGAAGTTGAATAAAATAGATTATTGAACTATATGTAATTTGCCTTAATTATATGTAATAAATGTGCGTTTTAATTTAAATATTTATTTTAATTATGTTATTAAAAGATGTATATTTTTTCTTAATTATATATATATTTTATATATATATATATACAGAAAATGCATTTATTTGCTTACATGATATGGATATGGATATGAATATTAGTGCCGTATAAGTAGTATAGGCAATTCTTAAATTCTTAACTTCTTCCAGCCCCAATATTTTCATCTTTGGGGATAATGTTACTTGCCTAAAACCAGTTAGCATTGTATCCCATGTTAATTGACACAAAACCAAGTGTCATGGTTTTTTGGACAGAATTATCCGAAAGCACTCTGGAAAGCATGGCGTACTATACAAGGATAAGATGGTACTATTGTGTTTACAATTATTATCTATATTATAATTCCATATAATTTTGGCTGTCTAGTAAGTTTGTAATGCAGGGCTAATTCAGGCAATTTTTATCATCTAGTTGGAAACAAAGACGTGGATAACTATTTGGTATGTTTATATATGCTTATATTGAAATTATTCTCATAGTTCATAACTCATCCTTAGAATATAGCGTTATACTGAAATGTAATGGTTATTTACTGTCTATTTACTTATACCCTGTCTTATTCCACAAAATGATTTTGGTGATTTACAGATTAATTTATTAAGAAAAGTTACTTAAGTGTTTCCTATCTTGTCCACAGAGTGTCACTGTTGGATTATATGAAAACCAAAAGTCATGTATCATTTAGTTCTTTGTTCATAGTCGAAGTACTCGTTTTTAAAGCAGTTCTGGTACTAGACTAGTCTTTCTACTCTGAAGTACATAAGGGGTCCAGCTCGATGGAAAATGGATCTGCAGTGTAGTTGGGTTAATGAGAACACAATTCTGTAAGTGCATCTTTTCATGTTGAAGGATTTGTAATAGCTGAAGTTCCTTTAATATAAAAAAATAGGCCTTTGGTCCTTCTTAAAAAACAAATAGAAGTCCTGAACTTTTTTTTCAGCACTTTCCTTCATATTTCCTTTTGGTTTATTAATCTTTCATAGACAAGAGCATGAACACCTGATTGTGAAGAAGGTGGAAGTATCATTAATGAATGTATATTAAACCTTAAATGTTTACATAATATTAATTGCTAGTTGCCAAATATGATTACACTTACCATCACCAAGAAAACAATTTAGATTCTTTTTCAGCCTTCATATACTGTGGAGTTATTATGAACTTAGGCTCAAGAAAATACTTCTTCCTCCTGAATTTGTATGCTTCTTTTCACTAGACAATGAGCTTTTAACCATTTTGTTTTCCTCTTTTCGTTATCGAATAGGAAATTCACAGCATCTTTGTACCCAGTTTTATTAGCTTTTTAAATTTTTGAAATAATTTTAGGTTTATGGAAGCGTTGCAAAATATTACAGAGTTCTCATGTATATACTTCACACAACTTTTCTTAATGTTAACTTACCGGTATAACTTAAAACTATGGTAATTATGTCACTACAGCACAGTTATCAAAACCAGGGAATTAACATTGGTGTGGCACCAGTAGCTAAACTATAATCCTTGTTTTTACCATTTCCCCCAACTCCCATGTTCCTTTTCTGTCCCAGGATGCAATCCAGCATCCCCCTTTGAATTTAGTTGTGTCTCCTTAGCCTCTTCCGTTCTGACAGCTTCTTATTCTCTCCTTGTCTTTCATGACCTTGACACTTTTGATGACTGCTGGACAATTATTTTGTAAAATGTCTCAGTCTTGATGTGTCTGATACTTTCTCTTGAATAGATTGAGATTATGCATTTTTGGCAAGAGTACCACACAAACGATGTTATCTCGTCATTAAATGATATTGGGGGTACATGGTGTTGATATATCTTTTTATTGATGATTTTAACAATTGGTTAACATATGTCTTCCAAATTTTTTCAGTGTCAAGTTGCTATTTTTCCCTTTGCAAGTGATGAATATCTTGGGTAGAAGGGTACTTTGAAATTATGCTAATACCCTGTTTCTCCTCAACCCACTGAGTTCACTTAGCATCCATCCATGAGTTTGACCTGCAGCAGTCATTACAGTGATGTTTGTCTTATGATGACTCTCTATTTCCCTCCTTCCTTCTGGATTTATTAATTAGAATGCATTTGTAAGGAAGAACTGTGCTTTATCTCCCACGATTTATTTATTGCATTATATATTTATATCAATATGGACTCATGGACATTGATTGAATTATATGAGTTACAATATACTATTATCATTATTTGTTTTGTTGATCAAATTTTCCAGTTTTGGCTATTAGAAGCTCCTTCGAGTTGGCTCTCGTGGCTTTTTTGCCTATTCCCACCCTTTTTTGAACACTTTTCATTTTCTGACATTGTAAGATGTTCTAGGCTCATCTGTACTTTCCCTGTCCCAGCCTTGGGATTCAACTTCTTTTAAAGGGGCCCTACTTCCTTTTATTGGAAAATAGTATTTAGAAACCAAGATTTGGACATGAGATGTGCTCACTGCTGCTCTTATGTCATTGATTTCTGTGGACAGAGCTAGGAAATGAATGTATGTTTCTAAACCATGCATACATATAAACCTATATTTTTATATCTACCTTTATAGATACTAAGAATTGTATGTTCATACTGGTATTCAGTAGTTTTTCTTAAACCTAGGTTCTTATATAATAACGTCTTTTCTTACCCCCTTTATTAATCAACTATTTTCTTTTTCATTCTCAGATGAATGTAAATTTTGGTTTTACTTTATCTCTGCTTTAAATAAGACTTCTGAAAGCCTTTGGAACATAGGGAAAAATTAAAACAATTGAAAAGATAAATATTTAAAGTGTTATTTTTATGGTGCTTAATTTGATTCTTACTGATATCAACCATTGACTACTTGTTTTTATAATATTAATAGGAGAGCAATGTACCTGAAGATTCCTCTGATGAAAATTATCTGAACCATCTTACAGAGTTGGAACGCCATTGCGAGGTATAAAAGTCCTGTCTCTCAAATGTAGTTTTCTGAAATATTGAGCTAAAATTTTATTTATCACATTTAATGTCATTGTACTATTAATAGAAATTTTGCTGTGTCAGGTTCTATATGAGTATCACCTCACTGTGATGCACTTTAAAAAATTTCTAGTTAGAACAATATCCCAAGGTGAAAAATTTGAAATAAAAATGATTTCCATAGTTTTTTAAAAAACCAACCCATAACTGGTCAAATGCAGTTAAGTCTCTTTCATCTGGATTGTTCCATATTTAATCTCTCCAACATAATCTTTAAAGGAAATGGTCTGATTTGGATGAAATTGAATATGTGCCGAACTGCATGGGAAGATATCTCAATTAAAACAAAACGGCAGCCCATCAGTGTTTGTAAGGAGCATACCCTATGTAGGTCTGAGGGGATTTTCTGAAAATTAGCATGTTGGTAGATTTGATGACCAGTAATTTTGGGAGCTGCATACCTCAGAGGTAATGAAGGTTTCTAGAAAAATAAATGATTCTCAACATATATAAGAGTTCTTGAATAGCATGAGTTAACATACTTTGAAAAGTAAAAATGTCTGTCTGGTCTTTATCAATGTCACTGGTGGGAAGAGAAGTGGAGTGCTTCCAAGAGACATGTGCAGTCTTGCAGGGAAATACTACAGAAGGGGGACTGGAGTGGGAAGGAGTGGTGTTTCCCGGCCTGCCTCCCTCTGCACTATTTGACCAGGGGTAGGGGGTAGCATCTAGGAGGGGAACTACCCGGATCCAGAGTCCCAGCCTGAAATGGTCCCATGGGCTCCTCTCCCTTGCTCCCAAGGGGCAGACTCTTTCCTTTCTAGATCACTTTGCCTGCTCAGGTTCTTGCCTTCCGGATCCCTCACCTGAGCCCCTTGTCCTTACCTAGATCCCTCTTGAGTCCATCCCTGCCCTGTTCAGATTGGGAGCAGAGAAAGGCTCCCCCCGCTGTCTCCTACCTACCTTCCCCCACCCGCCCCAGTGCTGCCTCTTCTCTCCTAGAGAGAGTAGAGGCCTTGGAGCAGTCCTCCCCTCCAAGTCTTAGTTCCTGTCGCCACAGCCAACCAACCTACTGACTCCGTCCTTCTGAGTTTTTCTCAACCCTTCCACTGGCCAGGGCCAACACCTCTGCTGCTTTCTGTGTCTGGCCCTCTCCCTGAGCCCAGAGACGCCCCTCTGCTAGTCTATCCTCTCTCTCCTCTGACTCCAGCCTCTGTCCTTGCTTCTCCTTCTTCTCCATGTGTTCTCCACATCTTTAAAAGCCACTTTTCTTGCCTCCATCCTTTATTTGCTGTCATCCTTGCTCTCCCTGGCTCCTGAGTGTCACTGTTACTTGCTGTCCACACACCTGGCTTTCTGTTTCTCTCTCTCTCTCTTAATCTTAGAAGTAAAATGTACACAGTTTAAAGAAAAGTTAAACAGCAGAGAGTGGGCTTAAACAAAACATTGTCGTCCCCATCCTTTCTCTCTTTCTCTCTTCACCATCAGCCCCATACCTTGGAGGTAACCACTTTTAATAGTCTTTTTTGAGACAGAGTCTTGCTCTGTGGCTCAGGTTGGAGTACAGTGGTGCCATCACAGCTCACTGCAGCCCTGAATTCCTGGGCTCAAGTGATCCTCCTACCTCGGCTTCCTGAGTAGCTGAAACTAAAGGTATATACCATCTGCCGGGATAATTTTTTACATGTTGTAGAGATGGAGTCTTGCTGTGTTGCCCAGGTTGGTCTTGAACTGCTGGCCTTAAGTGATCTTCCCACCTTGACCTCCCAAAGTGCTGGGACTAGAGGTGTGATCTTAGGCCTGGTCTACTTTTAATAGTCTTTAGCTGAAATTCTTCTTGTGATTTCCATCATTATCCAAATAATATACTCTGTTTCTTTTTGTGCTGACTTTAGGTGTTAACTATTGCCACTGTGAAAGATGAGGAATTTACTTCTTCTTCATCACCCTTCCTGAGATTAATTATACTATTTTTTGTAGTTCTTTTATTGTTTCCTGTTGGGTTTCTCTAGTAAACTTCTGAGACTTGCTCTGTCATCCTTAGGCAGCAGTCCTTTAACCACAGCCATGCTCTATCAGCTGAGCACTAGAGCCTAGCATTGTAGACACTTTGCTGATCTTCCTTCTCATTCCCTTTTTCACATTCCTAGTGCTGTCAAAGTTATAAATAAATTCTGCTTTGTAAAAAACTGTCAATAAGTTTTCCATGTTTTGGCTATAAGTTATTTATTTCCCTGCCTTTTAAAATTGTATATATTGCCGGGCTCGGTGGCTCAGCCTGTAATCCTGCGCCTTTGGGAAGCTGAGGTGAGTGGATTGCCTGAGCCCGCGGGTTCGAGACCCACCTGGGCAGCGAGACCTCATCTCTACAATAAATCAAAAAATCAACCGGGCGTGGCAGCGCATGCCTGTAATTCTGGCTACTCGGAAGGCTGAGGCGGAAGGATCGCCGGAGCCCAGCAGGCGAGGCTGTGGTGGCCGGGAGCGGCCACTGCACTTCAGTCTGGGCGACCGAGTGAGACTCCAACTCAAAAAAAACCAAAAAATTGTATATATTTAACATGTATAACAGGATGTTTTGGTATACAGAGTGAAATTATTGCTACAGTCCAACCAATGTACATATGTATCATCTCATTATTACCTTTTATAGTGTGTGGTAAGAGCACATAAAATCTACTCCCTTAGAAAATTTCCAGTAAACAATATATCATTAACTATAGTCCTTATGCTGTACATAAGATGTCTAGACTTCTAATCGGGCACATCTACATAACTACAACTTTATAACCTTTGACCTCTGTCTCCCCTCCCCTGTCTCCCCTCCCCTTTGCCCCCATTCCTCACCTCTGGTAACCACTATTCTACTTTCTATGTATTCAATTTTTTTTGGAGATTCCACCTATAAGAGAAATAGTGCAGAATTTCTTTTTCTGTGTATGGTTTATTTCACTTAGCATAATGTCCTCTAGTTTCATCCATGTTTTTACAAATGACAGGATCTCCCTCTTTTTAAAATAAATAAAAATACATTAAAGAAAAAGGCTGAGCCAGGCTCAGTGGCTCAGCCTGTAATCCCGCGCCTTGGGAGGCTGAGGTGAGTGGATTGCCTGAGCCTGCGGGTTCGAGACCTGCCTGGGCAACTTGGCGAGACCTCATCTCTACAATAAATAAAAAAATCAGCCGAGCGTGGTAGTGCGTGCCTATAGTTCCATCTACTTGGAAGGCTGAGGCAGAAGGATCGCCGGAGCCCAGCAGGTGGAGGCTGCGGTGGCCGGGAGCGGCCACTGCACTCCAGTCTGGGTGACAGAGTGAGACTCCAACTCAAAAAAACAAAACAAAACAAAACAAAAGTAAAAGGCTGAATAACATTGTGTATATATATCATATTTTCTTTATCCAGTCGTCTGTAGATGGACACTTAGATTATTTCCATATCTTGGTTACTGTGAATAATGTTGAAGTAAACATGGTAGTGCAGCTATCTCCATGAGGTGTTGATTTCATTGTTTTGGATATATACCTGGAAGAGGGATTGCTGCAGCATTTGGTAGTTCTATTTTTAACTTTTTTTTAAAGTCAGAAAGTTGATTATTTTTTTAAATTTCTAAAGCTCTGCCATAAATTTCTAGAGGGTACCAATGGTCACCTGCCACACTTGCATCAGATTGTGTAGCCAGCAAACAGAGTCTGGCCATCAGCAGAGCAGGCCAGAGAGGTGCACTGGAGCGCCTCTGCCTTGCTGCTGGTACTGATAATTTCTTGCTTCAGTTCATCTACAATGATCTGGCCCTCTAAATCCCAGATCCTGATGCTGGGGTCTGTGGCAGCACGGAACCAGTAGCAGTTGGGGCTGAAGCACAAGGCATTGATAATGTCCTCACCATCCAGTGTATAAAGGTGCTTGCCTTTGTTGAGATCCCATAGCATGGCCTGGCCATTCTTGCCTCCAGTAGCACAGAGAGATCCATCTGGAGAGACAGTTATAGTCTTCAGATATCCCGTGTGGTCAGTGTGGTTGGTCTTCAGCTTGCAATTAGCCAGATTCCATACCTTGATCAGCTTGTCCCAGTAACAGGAAACGATAATAGGGTTGCTGCTGCTGGGCAAGAAGTGGATACAAGACACCCCACTCTGTTTGGCTCTCATTCTGGACAGTGTATTTGCATACACCCAGATTATTCCATAATTTGATGACTTTATCTCGGGATCCAGAGACAATCTGTCAGTTGTCAGAAAAGGCCACATTCACCATGTCCTTGGTATGGCCCACAAATCGTCTCATGGTGGTGCCTGTTGTGAGATGCCAGAGGTACAGGTTCCATCCCAACAGTCTGTGATGGCAAACTGGCTATCTGAGGTGCTAACCATGTCATTAATAAAGTGGCAGAGGCCCTGCAGTGCTTGCTGCAGGATGCCATAATTGGTCTTATCCCTGCTCAGCTTCCACATGGTGATGGTCTTGTCACTAGAGGCAGGCAGTATCATGTCTGAGAACTGCAGGGTAGTGGCAACTTGGGTTACCAGGTCATGGTGGCCCTTGATGGTACCATGAAGGGTCATCTGCTCAGTCATGGTGGTGGTGAGTATAAGTGTCACCGCAACGATGAGGATGGCACCAGATAACTCAGAGATGAGCTCCACCCTATTTTTAATTTTTTGAGGAACTTCCATATTGTTGTCCATAATGACTGTACCAATCTACATTTTCACCAACAGTGTGCAAGGACTTCCTTTTCTCCACATTCTTCCTAACACTTGTCTTTTGACTTTTTGATAATAGCCATCCTGCAGGTGTGAGATGATATCTTATTGTGGTTTTGATTTTCATTTTCCTGATGATTGGTGATGTTGAGCACCATACCTTTTCTTATACCTATTACCTATCCGTATGTCTTCTTTTGAGAACTGTCTATTCAGGTCTTTTGCCCATTTTAAAAATTGGGTTGTACCTTTTCTGCTATTGAGTTGTATGAGTTCCTTCTATCTTTTTTTAATTAACACCCTATCAGATAATATGGTTCAAAAATATTTTCTCCCAACCTGTACACTTCTTTTCATTTAGTTGATTATTTCTTTTGCTGTTCAGAAGCTTTTTAGTTTGATGTCATCCCACCTGTTTTTGTTTTTGTTGCCTGTGCATTTGGTGCAAGGACCAACGTCGAAGAGCTTTCCCCTCATGTTTTCTTCTAGATGTTTTATAGTTTCAGGTCTTACATTTAGACCTTTAATCCATTTTTTTTTTTTTTTTGAGTTAGAGTCTCACTCTGTCGCCCAGACTGGAGTGCAGTGGCTGCTCCCGGCCACCGCAACCTCGACCTGCTGGGCTCCGGCAATCCTTCCGCCTCAGCCTTCCAAGTAGCCGGAATTACAGGCGCGTGCTACCACGCCCAGCTAATTTTTTGATTTATTGTAGAGATGAGGTCTCGCTGCCCAGGCGGGTCTCGAACCTGCGGGCTCAGGCAATCCACTCACCTCAGCCTCCCAACGGCGCGGGATTACAGGCTGAGCCACCGAGCCCGGCTTAATCCATTTTTAGTTGATTTTTTTGTGTGGGGTAAGATAAGAGTTCAGTTTCATTCTTTTGCATGTGGACATCTAGTTTTCTCAACCCCATTTATCGAAGAGACTATCCTTTCTCCATTGTGTGCACCCTTATCAAAAATTAGTTGGCCATATATGCTTGGGTTTATTTCTGGGCTCTCTATTCTGTCTCATAGGTCTATGTGTGTATGTTTTTATGCCAGTGCCATACTGTTTTGATTACTATACATTTGTAATATAGTTTGAAATTAGGTAGTGTGAAAAAAAGTTTTCAGCTTTGCTTTTCTTTCTCAGGATTGCTTTGGCGACCTGGGGATCTTTTGTGGTTCTATGTGAATTTTAGAATTGTTTTTTCTACTGTTGTGAAAACTACCATTGGAATTTTGTTAGGGATTTCATTGAATCTGTAGATTGCTTTGGGTAGTATGGGTATTTAAACAATATCAATTCTTCCAATCAATGAATACAAGAGGTCTTTCCATTCATTTGTGTTGTCTTCAGTTTCTTTCATCAGTGTTTTATAGTTTTCACTATATAGCTCTTTTACCTCCTTGGTTAAATTTACTCCTAAGTACTTTATTCTTTTTGATATTGTTGTAAATGGGATTGTTTTCTTTTTTGTTTTTGTGTTTTTGTTTTTGTTTTAGTTGGAGTCTCACTCTGTCACCCAGACTGGAATGCAGTGGCCGCTCCTGGCCACCGCAGCATCCACCTGCTGGGCTCCAGCGATCCTTCCGCCTCAGCCTTCCAAGTAGCTGGAACGACAGGCACGTGCTACCACGCCCGGCTCATTTTTTTATTTATTGTAGAGATGAGGTCTCACCAAGTTGCCCAGATGGGTCTCGAACCCTCAGACTCAGGCAATCCACTCACCTTAGCCTTCCAAAGGCGCAGGATTACAGGCTGAGACACCGAGCCTGGCTGTTTTCTTTTTTGGATAGGTCATTATTGTAGAGAAATGCAACTGATTTTTGTATGTTTATTTTCTGTCCTGCAGCTTTACCTAATTCATTTATTAATTCCAACAGTTTTGTTGTGAATTCTTTAGTGTTTTATTTTTTAAAAAATTTTAATTGACAAATAATAATTATATGTATTCATGGGGTACATGTGATGTTTTGATATATGTTGTACATACACACACACACATACACACACACACACACACACAATGTGGAATGAGTAAATCAAGCTAATTAACATACTCATCACCTCACATACTTATTTTTTGTGGTGAGAATCTTTAACATTTAGCAGTGCCAGCTTGGGGGATGGGGAGAAACAGGCAAAATGAAAGAGTTCTTCCTACCCTTCTTGTGTGATTCTTCTCAGGACTTAGACTGTATTGCTGTGGCTCCTTTAGTGAATCCTAAGCTCTTCTAGAATTTATTTTTGTTTGTGTATAGATACCAAATTGTTGCTCTTTGAGGGGGAGAGGGAGGCAGGATCTTCTACTCCTACCATCATGGTGGCGTCTTGGATCTCTAAAAGTAATTTCTAAAAATTAAAAACAAAGAATCAGTCTTTACAATACTAGGATTTTATAATATTCTGTATAAAGCCAAATAATATCATTGACCATGTAACCTTCATGCTGTTAATTCTATCCTGTTAAATGTCCTAAACATTCAAGGTAAACGAATTCTCTTCTGTATTTTACCAACCCTCAAAATCATGTCATATTGGACTTGGCTGTCTGTTTGCACTATGACTTTATTCATCCAAACATTTTCTTATGCAGGGGATTTTTTTCTTAGAGTTTCTAATGGTTATTTATTTACTTTGTTGAAAGAGGAAATACACCTTTTTCATCTCTTTGCTGGGATTTTTAGGCTTCAAAGTTCTTCTACATATTGAATGGAATCTACTTTCTCCTTGAAGTCATTTTTCACAAATCCTTCCTGATCTGATTTGACCCAGTTCTTGATAGGTGCAGCTCTCACCTCAGGATTTGTTTCTGTGGCCGGCTGTTTCTTGAATCCTTTGTCTTCCTAATTTTGGATCCGTCTTCTGTTTTCTTTTTCATTTTCCCTGAGTTATTATTTCCTTCAATATTTTTTTTTTTTTTCCGGAGAGGTACATATGTGTTAAATTTTCAGTCTTTGACTACCTGAAATTATCTTGATTCTTCCCTGGCACTGTGTGTACAACTCTAGGTTCAAAGTTATTTCCCTTTAGAAATTCTGTTCTAGCATCCAGTGTTGCTCAGTTGTCTATCATTATGATTCTTTATTGGTATAATCTTTTCTGTCTCTTTGGGAACTTTTAATCTTTAAAACATCTCTTTTCTATGTATCCTGCTTAGCATTATGTGAATCCCTTCAATCTGAACATTTGAGTCATTCTTTGGCTCTGGTAGCGGTTTTTCTTCAGTTCCTCCTTTCCATGTACTCTATTCCCTCCATCTGGAATGACTTTTAATTGGATGTGACAACTCCCGTATCATTCATCTGGCTTAACGGCTATCTCATTTAAAGGCTCTTTGACCTATGAACAGTGTCCTGGGTGATACCCTTGATTTTATCTTCCTGCCATCTACTGATTTTTTCTTGTTTTTTTTTTTTTGGCAAGGTCAGTCGTTCTTATAATCGACAATAATGTCTTCCTGTTTTCTGATTACCCTTATTTTATAGCACTATATTATCATTTCATGGATGTGTGAAATCATCTTGAATCTCTGAGCATCTGGATTATTAAAAATGTTCTGTCTTTGAAATTACATCTTTTTCTCCTAAATTCATTTGCGGTATCCATTGGTGCTTCTATGCCCAGTTTAACAACTGGCCTGAACCTCTTCATTTTGGTTCAGTATCATTCTGACTCTCAAATGTCTGTCTTTAACTTGTGCTGCTCTCTTTGGCTCCAGATTCACACATGTATTGAATCACCTGCTGAACAACTCTATTTAGTGTATACCAAATTGAATTTATCATCTTTGCTCCAAAATTTGTATCCTTTACCATATTTATTCTCTCAGGTTAACTATCATCTACTTAGTTGTTTAAGCCAGAAATCCAGGCATTTTTTTTTGGTCCTCAGTCCCAGGCCATCATTTATCAAGTCTTAGTGGTTCTCATGCTCCAACAGGCATCAGAATCACCTGGAGGGCTTGTGAAAACCTAGTCTGCTGCCCCCACTCTCAGAATTCCTGATTCAGTAGGTCTGCGGTGGAACCTGAGGCCTGGCATTTCTAGCAAGCTTGCAGCTGATGTTGATGCTGCTGGTCCATGGACCACATCTGAGAATCACTGTTCCAGACTGCTAGTCACTTTCTCTGTTGGAATGGTCTTTCCCCTTATCTCTCTCCCTATCTGAGATGGGAGCTCCTGTAGCATAGGAGCTTGTTTTTGCTCATGTTCCCAGCACCCAGCACAGTAGATCAGCCAAGTGGTAAGGTCTCAATAAGTGTTTATTTGAATGAATGAATGAGGAAATGCTTCTGGCCTTTTACTTAAGTGTATTTTCTGCCCCAAATTTCTAAGTATTTCAGGAAGAATTTCCAGATTGTCATCAGCCACATATTTGATTGGCACACAGGGACCTATACTCAATGGTTTTGTAAGGGGAATTGTTGACTGCATGATTTTAAACTTTGAAGCCAAAGTCACATCTGTGAAACTTGGCTCAGTGTTATTGCCACAATGTGACACTCTCTGTCTATATATAGACTTCATCTATTTACAGATATGAGCATACATGTTGCATACGAACATTATAATGTGAGTCTTTAGTCTTTAGCAGATCTGAACCGTTCTTTGCTAAAACAGCACTTTTGTTGGTGTGCAATGTCTCCATCATCAGCGAGCTGGCTTGGAGGAATTGTGGCTCCTCACTTGCCAGCGTTAGAGCTTCCTCAATTCCTGTGTGAAGTAGGGCGGTGGAGGGGATGTTGGGGCTCCTGGGCTCAGCCCATCAGCTCTGTGTCACCTTCAGCCAGGCCTCAAGTAGGAGTAAGAAATTTCTCATGGCCTGAGAACTTTGGTTGTGTCTAGCAGTTAACATTTGACTTAATGATATTTTCACATGTTACTTTTCTTTTGAAATAAGAACTACTAATTTTTTTATTATAATAGAATTTAGAAGAACTTATTGAACACATGAATAGGCAGATCGACCAGCTTTGTGAAGTTGTTTTAAGCATTCAACGTTCTTGGAATCAACCATTGTTGCTAAAATGTGTAAGTGTTATAAAAATATTTCACAACTTTGATAAACCTCTAGTTTCTAAACATATCAATCAGTTAGAAGTGATAGAGAACAAGTAACTGAGATTAACAAAGCTGATCTCTACTTACTTTAATAACATAAAGGGGACTAAAATGTTGGAAGAATGCTGAAGTTTACATTTGATAAATTATGACACTGAGTATTTTTGTGTTAGTAATCATCATGTGTAAAACATAATTAAAATGTAGAGTTAAATGTATGGATACAAAGTAATCACATAATCAAAAGGGAGCCTTTATCCTTAATAATAGAAAATGATGTTGCAAGGAAAATAGACTTATTTTAGTTCCAGTTTTCGTTTAGTTACAGTTGATTATACTGGATTGGTGTCATTTTAGAGGTGATCTGGACTTACACAAAAATGTTTTGTTTGTATTTCTCATGGAGAAATTGAAGCCCGGGAACTGAAGCACAGAGCTTAAGTCATTCTGTTCTCTCACCCTGGACAGGTGAATTGTAGTGCATCATTATTAGTGGAAAGGCAAAAAACCCACACCCAGGCCAACCCTGAAGGAACATCTCTTGGGTCAGCAGCATACCCTGAACAGCAGCAAACAGACCACACAGAGAGTTTGCCACTTCCCAGAATTATCTCCACACAATTATTTCAGCCATGCGCCACACAAGGCAGCTCATATCCTGATCTCTATACGCTATCCTATGTCATTAACGAAGACGCTGGAAATACCAATGATGTCAATTCATCTGCCGAAGCTACTGCAGCAGTGCCAATAGCAGTTCTTCCACAAGGAGAACCCAATCTGGCAAATAACCCTGATGTGGTGAATTACTCAGCTGTACTTGTAAATGAGGGTATGGACCCAGATACTACCTCATCATCTTTCTGCATCCCTTTTGATTTTGGTGAGTTTGAAATGAAATATATTATAAGTAGCATCTTTTAATCTAGATTTAAAAGCGTCCTTAAAATTAGAGCTGATTATTTTTAAATTAAAAGTTTTAATATAGAGTCACATATAGTTATGAGAAATATTATAGAGAGATACCTTTTGCCCTTTACCCAATTTCCCCCATGATATCATCTTGTAAGACTATGGTTGTATCCATTTGTGTGTCTCTGAATTTAGTTCTTTGTAATTTTATCACATGACGAAGTTAGGATGTTCCCATTATAGTCATGATACAGAATGGTTCTAGCACCAGAAGGATCACTCATATTGTTTTTATAACCAAACACATCCCCCTCTGACAACCCTTCCATCCCTGACCCTTGGCAAGCATGGTCTCTCCTCCAGCTCTATATATTGTTATACAATTAGATGCATAATTTGTAACCTTTTGGTACTGACTTTTTTCTTTTCTTTTTTTCTTGAGTAGGAATCTTACTCTGTTGCTCAGGCTGTAGTGCAGTAGCACGCTCACAGCCAATGCAGCCTCAACCTGCTGGGCTCAGGAGATTCTTCCGCCTCAGATTTCCAAATAGCTGGAACCACAGGCATGTACCACCACACCTGGCTAATTTTTAAGAATAATTTATTGTAGAGACGAGGTCTCGCCATGCTGCTCAAGCTGGTCTCAAACCGTTGAGCTCAGGCAATCCTCTTGCCTCCACCTCCCAAAGTGCTGGGATTACAGGCTTGAGGCATTGTGCCTAGTGGTACTGGCTTTTTTCATTCAACATAATTCTCTGGAGAGTTATCCTGCTTGTGCATGGTGCGTGTTAGTTGTTCCTTAATCCACAGTATAGGTATACCATAGTTTAACCATTCCTCTACTGAAGGAAATTTTTTCCAGATGGAGGGAATAGAGTACATGGAAAGGAGGAATAAGGTTGCTATGAATAATTCATTCATTGTATAAATATTAAGTTTTCATTTTTGAGTGCAACTACTGGTTATATGTTAACTGCATGTTTAGCTTTTTAGAAAACATCTTTATTGAGATATAATTGATGTCTTAGTTCATTTGTGTTGCTATAACAAAGTACCACAAACTTGGTTATTTATAAAGAACAGAAATGTATTTTCTCACAGTTCTGGAAACTGGGACATTCAAGATCAAGGCACTGGCAGGTTTGTCTGGTGAGGGCTGCATCTTCTGGAGAGAGCGAATGCTGTGTCCTCACATGGCAGAAGGTGGAAGGGCAAGCTGGCAGAATGCTGTGTAAAGCCTTTAAGGGTCTTAATTCAATTAATGTAGAGCCCTCATGGCCTAATTACCTCTTAAAGGTCCTATCTCTTAATACTATCACATTGGCAACACTTGAATTTTGGAGGGGACATATTCAAATCTTCATAATTGATATGTAAAGAAACTGTACATATTTAATGTACACAGTTGATGAATTTGGCATTTGCATATTTAGTTTTATGAGAAATTGCCTAAATGTTTTCCAGTGTGACTGTGCCATTTGACATTCTTGCCAGCTCTATATGGGTGATCCAGTTTTTCTGTGTCTGTATTTCTGCTCTTTCTATTGTTCGTTCTTCCTGATGCTCTAAGATTCCTTCTTTCATCATTTATTTTTTTGACTGAAGACTTGCTTTTAACATTTTTTAAGCATAAGTCTTCTGGGGACAGATTCCTTTTGTTTTCCTTTGTGTGTGAATGTTCTTATTTCCTCATCTTTTCTAAAAGATAGTTTTGCCTGGTATAGAATTTGTGGAGGAAAGTTCTTGTTATAGCTCTTGAATACTTTTTATTTATAGGAATTTCCGAAAATGCAGAAACCAGCCTTGAAAACAGCACTGAGGCAAGGAATTACATGACTTTACTGGGAAATGACAGTGCCCAAAATACTAACTATTCAGCTGTCTTCATCCCTCCCAATATTGGTGAGTTTTAAATGATACATATTACAAGTAGCACAGTTTAATCTAGATTTACCAACATTTTGAATGCAATCTAGTGCGACTCTTTTTAAATTGAACTTTTTAGTTTGAGATAATTTTAGATTCACATAACAGTTGTAGGAAATAATGCAGAGAAATCCTGTTTATGCTTTAGTCATTTCCCCCAATAATAACATCTTTAAAACTATACCAAAATGTCACAACCAAGATATTATCATCGATACAGTCCACAGATCTTATTGAGATGTGCTCAGGTTGACTTGTATTAGTGTGTATATGTATATTTAGATCTATGTAATTTTATTACACGAATAGGTTTATGTCCATCACCACAGTCAAGATACAGAACATTCGATCACCACGAGAATGCCCCATCTTGCCCTTTGATAATTACGGTCACTTTCCTCATGTTGCTTTTTCCTTCTAATCTGTTCCACCTCTAACACCTGGCAACTACTGATGTACTCTCTATTTCTAATTTTGTCACTTCAAGAATGTTGTATTAAAGGAACGTTGCAGTATATAATTTTTGGGTATTGGCAGTTTTCACTTAGCACAATTATCTGAAAACTCATCTAGGTTGTTGCATGTAATCCTTTTGGCCAGATGTGGTGGCTCATGTCTGTAATCTGGGCATTTTGGAAGGCTGAGGTGAGAAGATTGCTTGAGCCCAGGAGTTTGAGAATAGCCTAGGCATCATAGCAAGAACTCGTCTCTATAAAACATAAAAAAAATAATAACTGGGCATGGTGGCATGTATCTATAGTCCTAGTTACTCAGGAGGCTGAGGTGGAAGGATCGCTTAAGCCCCGGAGGCTGAGGCTGAGGCTGTGGTAAGCCATGATTGTGCTACTGCACTCCAGCCTGGGCCACAGAGACCTTGACTCAAAAAAAATAATTCCTTTCTTTTTATTTCTGATTTGTATTTCACTGTATGGATATACCACAGTTTGTTTAGCCATTTATCCATTGAAAGGACATCTTGATTTTTTTTCCCCCAGTTTTTGGGTATTAGGATTGACACTGTTGAGAACATTCATGAACAGGTTTTTATGTAAACATAAGTTTTAATTTCTCTGCTGTGAATGTCAAGAGTACAGTTGCTGAGTCTTATCGTGATAGCATGTTTAGTTTTATAGGAAACTACCAAATAGTTTTCCAGAGAGTCTATACCATTTTCCATTTCCACCAGCAATATATAAGTGATCCAATTATACCATATCCATATTTCTGTTCTTTCTTCCTTCCTGATGCTTTACATTTTCTTCTTTCATCAATTGCTCTGTTTAAATAATTTTATTTAGCCTTTAAGTTTTTTGTTTTTTTTTTTTAGTTTTCCTTCATGTGAAAATTATTTTTCCTACATTCTTCAAGTATAGTTTTATTGGGTATAGAATTTGTGGTTAAGAGTTGATTTTTCATCAACATTATTAATGAAAGTCAGTAGTAGCACTTTAAAAAAAATCAGCTTTTTATTTTGAGATAATCTTAGATTCACATGTAGTTGTAAGAAATTATATAGAGATTCCATTTATGGTTTACCAATTTTCTCCAGTGATAACATCTTGTGGAACTATAGTAAAATATCACAACCAGGATATTGACATTGATTAAACCTACATTTGTGTGTGTATTTAATTCTATGTTAATAGGTTTACATGTCCACCACTAGACATGATACAGAACATTTCCATCATCACCAAGGGTTCCCTCATATTGTTCTTTTATAACCACAGCTATCTCCCTCTGATCTCCTTTCCCTCATACACTGCCTTGTCCTAACCATTGACAATCAGTGATCTGACTTCCCATGCTATAATTTTGTCATTTAAATGAAATCAAACACTGACTTTTTCCATTAAATATAATTTTCTCAAGATTCGTACCAATTGTTGCATGTATCAGTAGTTCCTCCCTTTTTATTGTTGAATACAGTTCCATGGTATGAATGTACACCTTTTTGTTAATCTGTTCACCCATTGAATGACATCTGGGAGATTTCTAATTTTGGGCGATTATAAGTAAAGATCTATGAGTGTTCATGTACTGGTTTTTGTGTAAACATAAATTTACATGCAGTTCTGTTCACATGGTAGTTTGTGTATAGTGTTCTAAGAAACTACTAGAAATATTTTTCGAGAAACTGTACTATTCTCCCTTCTCACCAGTAACATATGAGTGATCCAGTTTCTCTGTGTGCATATTTCTACTCTTTCTCTTCTTCTTACTTCCTGATGCTCAGAGATTCATCCTCTCATCATATCTTTTGTGTATGAAGTTTATTTTAGCCTTTCTTTAAGGTTAAGTCTATGAAGGGTGAGTCATTTTAGTTTTCTTTCGTGTGAGAATGTATTTATTTCCTGTACATTACTCAAGGAGAGTTTCACTATGTAGAAACTCGTGTATGAGAATTCTTTTCTTACGCACTTGTTCTTTCTGTAGACATGCCAGAAATAGCAGAAACCAAGGTGGAACACAACCTTGGTACAACAAATGACCCAACTTTTTTGGGTAATGACTGTGACCAATGTGCTGCCTTTTCATCTGCTGGTCTTCCACCTAATGCTGGTGAGTTTCAGATGCTGCACTACAAGTAACGTTATTGAATCTGGATCCATCAACATCCTTAATGAAAGATAGGTGTAGCTAATTTTTAAAATTAAACTTTTTATTTTGAAATAATTTTAGATTCCCATGTATTTGCAATAAATAATATAAATGATCCTCTTTACATGTTACCCTTTTCTCCCAACAATATTGTAAAACTATAGTAAAATAACACAGCCAGGATATTTACATTGCTATGATATATAGATATAATTGAGATGTCCTCAGTTTTAATTCTAGTAACTTGTGTGCGTCTCTCTATTTTTTTCTATGCAAGTTTCCTCCACAAGTAGGTTTTATCCCCACACCACAGTCAAGACAGAACATTTCCATCACCACCAGGCTGCCTAATCTTGCTCTTTTATAACCACCCTCACCTCTCTCAGGTCACTGTTTCCTTCCTTACTGACTGTTCCTAACCCCTGGCAAACCCTGGTCTCTAAAATTTTGTCACTTTAAGTGTTACATAAAGGGATCTTATGGTGTGTAGTTTTTTGTTGTTGTTGTTAGCATAATTCCCTGAAGACTCAAACAGGTCTTTGAGTGTGTCAATAGTCCCTCCATATATAAAATTATATATGTAATTTTTCCTGAATTTTTTTCCATGGCTTGGGTATGCAGTATTTGTTTTCAACCATTTGCCCATTGAAGGACATTATCCCCCCCCCTTTTGTTATTAGAAGTAAATTGCTGTGAACATTAATGTACTGGTTTTTGGGTAAATATGTTTTCATTTCTATGTCATGAATGTCAGGAGAACAGTTGCTGGGGCTTATGGTATGTTTAGCCACGTAAGAAACTGCCAGATAGTTTGGGTTCCAAAGAGGTTGTACTATTATAAATTTTCAAGAGCAATGTGTGGTTGATCCAGTTTCTTCACGTTTATATTTCTGATCTTTCTGTCATTCTTTTTTCCTTCCTGATGTTTCAAGAGTCCTTCTTTCATCATATCCTTTCTGTTTGCAGATTTTTCTTTAACCTTTTCTGCAGGTAAGACTGCTAGGGACAGAATCTTTTAGTTTTATTTTGTTGGAGAAATGTTTACCTTTTTTTTGGAAGGATAGTTTTGCCTCGTATAGAATTTACTGTTGAGTATTCTTTTCTTTCAGGAATTGAAAAGGTTATACTTATGGAACTGCCAGAAAAACTAGAAACCAATCCAGAAGACAATTCTCAGACAGTGTATTTCCCAGTTGTATTGGGAGATATCTGTAACCAAGATACTGTCTCTTCATCTCTTCCCATCACTCCCAGTTTTGGTGAGTTTGAGCTGACACATATTACAAGCAGCACTCTTTAATCTAGACTCATAAACATTATTAATATTAATTTTTAGTGATAGCTTTCTAAAAAATAAACTTTCATATTGGGAGATTTCTGAATTGCACACAATTGTAAGAAACAATACAGAGAGATCCTGTGTACTCTTTACCTAATTTCTTCCAGTAGTAATATTTTATAAAAAGACAGTAAAATGTCACAACTAGAATATTTACATTGATACAATCCACAGATCTTATTGAGATGTCCACATTTTTACCTGTATCACTTGTGTGTGCATGTGTGTATTTAATACTCTGCAATTTTATTCCACAAGTAGGTTTGTGTGCCCACCACCACAGTCAAGGTAGAGATAATTTCTATCAGCACAAGGACCCCTACTATTCCCTTTGATGACCACAGTCAACTCTCTCTGCTCACCCTTCCCTGCCCCCATGACTCATGCTTAACACCTAGCTACCATTAATTTCTTCTCCATCTCTATAGTTTTGTCTCTTCAGATTGTTACATAAATAGAATCATATTTGGGATTGGTTTTTTTTTCTACTCAGCTTAATTTTCTGGAGACTCACCCAGGTTGTTTTGTTTATTAATAGTTTATTCCTGTTGCAGAATACTACTCCATGGTATGGATATGCTGCATTTCATTTAACCATTCTCCTGCTGAGAGACTTTTTTTGTTTTGTTTTGTTTTTGACTGTTAGGTGTAAAGCCACTATGAATATTTATGCACATTTTGGTGTAGATATATTTTCATTTCTCAATAGTTTCTTCCTTTCTAATGGTGAATAACTCATTGTAGACAGGAAAAGCTTTTTTTAAATTTAATAAAGAAAAACATTCACCCATTGAAGGACATCTGGTTTTTCCTCTCTAGTTTTTGGATATTACTAGTAAAACTGCTCTGAATATTTGTGTACTGGTTTTGGGATAAATATAAGTTTTCATTTCTCTACTACGAAGGCCAAGAGTACAATTGCTGTGTCTTATGGTAACAGCATGTTTAGTTATATAAGAAACTGCCAGTTTTCAAGAGGGGCTGTACTATTGTATGTTTCCAACAGCAATGTATGAGGGATCCAATTTTTCCACCTCAATATTTCTGATCTTTCTATCATTCTTTCTTCCTTCCTGATGTTCCAAGATTCCTTATTTTGTAATATTTTTTCGTTTGAAGATTTTTCTTTAGCCAATTTTAAAGGGTAAATCTGCTAGAGATAAATTTCTTTAATTTTCCTCTTTTTGAGGATGGCTTTATTTTCCCTTCTCTCTTGAAAAATAATTTCACACAGTATAAAATTCATGGTTGAGTGTTTTTGTCTTTCAGTATTTGAAAAAGTTATACTTATAGAAGTGCCAGTAAACACGGACACCAAGCTGGAAAACAACCCTCAGACAACGAATTGCTCAACTTTATTGGTAAATGACAGTGACCAAAATGCTGTCTCTTCATCTCTCTCTATTCCTCCAAATTTTGGTGAGTTTGAAATGATACATGTTAGTAGTAGCTCTGTTTAATCTAGATCCAGCAACATCCTTAATACAAAACTAGTGATAGCTTTTTAAAAACTGACTTTTAATTTTGTGGTGATTTAGGATACATGCGTAGTTGTAAGAAATAACACAGAGAAATATCCTGTACACTTTACCTATTTCTCCCAACAATAACATCTTGCAACACTGTAATAGAACATCACAACCAGGATATTGACATCAATATTATCCACAGATCTTCTTGAGCTTTCCCATTTAATTGCATTGATTTGTGTGTGTACATTTAGTTCTGTTCAATTTTGTCATATGAAAAGGTTTGATTTCCACAACCACAGTCAAGATACACATTTCCATTACTACCAAGATGCCTCTTCGTGCTCTTTTAGAACCACACTTGCTTCAGCAATTCCCTGGACAGTCATCTAACTTGTTGCATGTATCAGTGGTCCTTATTTTTAAATTGCTGAGTACTGTTCTATCGTATGGATGTACCACAGTTTGTTTATCATTTGTCCATTGAAGGGCATCTGATTGTTTTCAGTTTTTGACTATTACAAATAACGTTGCTATGACTCTTCATGTACAGGTTTTTGTGTAAACATAAGTTTTGATTTCTTTCGGATAAATGTCCAAGAGTGCAAATGCTTGGTTGAATAGTAGTTGCGTGTTTAGTTTTATAAGAAACTGCCAAGTCGTGTTATAGAGAGACTGCACCATTTTACATGTCCACTAACTATGAATGATCCAGTTTCTCCACATCTGTATTTCTGCAGCTTTCACTATTTTTTTCTTCTGATTTAATGCTCCATGATTTGCTCTCTCATCATTCTATTTGGTTTAAAGATTTTCCTTTAGTCATTCTTTAAATGTACATCAGCCAGTGACAAATACTTTTAGTTTTCCCTCATTTGAGAATGATTTTCCTCTTCATTTTTTGAAGGATACTTTTGCCTGATACAGAATTCATAGCTGAATTTTCTTGTCTTTCAATATTTGAAAATATTTTATTTCTAGAAATGTTGGCACAAGCACAAACCAGCCTGGAAGAGAAATCTGAGATGACAAATTACCAACTTTTGTTGGAAAACAACAATGGCCAGAATATTTCCTCAACATTTCAGTGCAATCCTCACAATTTTGGTGAGTTTGAAAAGATACTTACTGTATGTAGCATTATTTAGTCTAGATTTATCTACATCTGCAGTGAAAGATATTGGTAGCTTTTTCAATTAAAGTTTTTATTTTCGGAAAAATTTAATTGCACATGCAGTTGTAAACGATACAGAGAGATCCTATGTTTCCATTACCCACTTTACCCCATGGTAACATCTTGTAAAACTGTAGAAAATTAACACAACTAGGATTTTTTTCCCTTTATTTCAATAGCTTTAGGGGGTATGAATACCCCCTGGTTACATGGTCGTATTGTATAATGGCAAAGAAGTCTGGGCTTTAAGTGTACCCACCACCCCCACCTGTGCACATTGTACCTGATAGGTGATCTTTCATCCCTCTACACCTTTCCACCTCCCCCTTTTGAGTCTCCAGTGCCCATTATATCATTCTCTATGTCTTTTCAGATCTAGCTCCCACTTATAAGTGAGAAGAATATGTGGTGTTTGGTTTTCTGTTCCTGAGTTGACAACTAGGATATTGACATAATATCTCCCACAGATATGATTGAGATGTCCCGTTTTATTAGTATTGATTTGTGTGCATGTGTGTGTTTTAGTTCACTTATATCATATGTGTAGGTTCATGGATCCTTTACCACAGGCCTCAAAAACAGTTTGTTCTTTTTTATTGCCTAGTATTATTCCATGGCGTGGGCGAACCGTGGTTTATCTTTTCACTCACTGAAGGACATCTAGGTGTTTCCTCGTTTGGACTATCAGAAGTAAAGCTGCTATGAACACTCATGTATTATACAGGCTTTGTGTGAACATGAGTTTTGATTTCCCTGAGATACTGCCCAAGAGTGCAGTTGCTGGGTCCTATGGTAATTGTATGCTTAGTTTTATCAAATACTACCACACTGTTTTCCAGAGTGGTTATATCATTTTCCATTTCCACCAACAACATATGAGGGATCTAGTTTCTCCACATACATATTTCTGCTCTTTCCATTGTTCTTTCTTTTTCCTTAATCATATCCCTTCAGTTTGAAGATCTTCCTTTAGCCATTCCTTAAGGGTAAGTCAGCCAGTGACAACTTTTTATAAAAGTTTTCCTTTGTCTGAGAAAGTCCTTATTTATCCTTCATTCCTGAAGGATTTGCCTGATATAAAAGAGCATGGTTTAGAGTTCTTGTCTTTCATCAGTGGAAAAAATTTTACATATTGAAATGTTAAACAGAATCTATCCCAGAAGTGAGTTGTGAAACAATGAGCTACTCAACCTTAATGGAAAGTGACCGTGGCCAAGATAAAGATTCAGCACCTGTCTTCCTCACTTCTGGCTTTGGTGAGTTTGAAATGGTATATGCTACAAGCAGCACTCTTTAATCTAAATTCACCAACATTCTTAATATTAATTATTAGCGAAGGTGTTTTAAAAATTAAACTTTTCATTTTGAGATATTTCAGAAAAGATATAGATGTAAGAAATAATGCAAAGAGATCTTGTGTACTCTTTACCCAGTTCCCCCAATAATAATATTTTGTAAAAATATAGTAAAATATCACAACTAGAATGTTGACATTGATAGAATGACCAGGTCTATTCAGATGTCCTCAGCTTTCCATGTATTCATTTGTGTGTGTGTATTTAGCTCTCTGCAGTGTTATGACATATTTAGGTTCAGGTGTTTACTACTCCAGAACTGTCCCAACAATTCCAGGAACCCTTTTATTGTCATTTTAAAACCATACCCACTCCATGTCATTCCCTCCCTGGCCTCATCGTTAACCCATCCAACAACTAGTGTGCTCTCTCTCCTTATAATTTTGCCATTGCAAGAATATTATAGAAATGGACTCATAGCATTTAATCTATTGCGGTAACCTTTTTTTCCATGTAGCATTATTCCCTGGAGTTTCACACAAGTTTTTGTCTGTATCAGGAATTCCTCCCTTTTTACTACTGAATACTGTTTCATGGTATGGATGTACCATGGTTTGTCACCCATTGAAGGACATCTGGATTGTGTTTAGTTTTTGGTTGTTATCAGAAAAGCTGCTGTGAGCACTAGTGTTCAGGTTTTTGTGTGGACATACAATTTTCATTTTTCTGTGATAATAACAGTTTAGTTATTAATGTCCAGGAGTGCAATTCAGTTTCTCTGTATCCTTACCAGCATTTGATGTTTTCACTATTTTATTTTAGCCCTTCTGATAAGTACTATATGGTAGTACTTCATTGTGGGTTTAATAGGCATTTGCCTTTGGATATGATGTACATCTTTTCATATCTGATTTTATCTGTATAAGCTTTTCTCTGAAATATCTATTATTGTTTTATAGTAATACATTTTATTACTGTTATATTTTGAGAATTGCTTAGATATTATAGGTACTAGTCTTTTGTTGAATATGCAGTTTGCAAATATTTTCTTCCTATCTGCAGCTTGCCTTTTTATCCTCTCTACATGAGTTTTTTTCTTTTCAGAGAGAAAGTTTTTAATTTTCGTGAGGTTCAATTTATCAACTTTTGCTCTAATGGAATGTGCTGATTCTGTCAAGTCTATGAATTCTTTCCAGTCCTTGAACCTACATTTTTTTCTCCTTTTTTAAAAAAAAATATTATATTTTTATATTTCACATATAAGTTGTGATCCATATTGAGTTTTCAGATTTGTATAAGGTGTGAGATTTAGGTCGGGGTTATTACTGTTATTGAGCCTATGGATATTCAAGTGCTGCAGTACCATGTTTTTAAATGGCTATCTTTTCTCCATTGAATTGTTTATTCACCTTAATGAAAAATAAATTAGGCATATTTATATGAGTCTATCTGTGGGTTCTCTGTTATAGTCTATTGGTCTGTGTTTCTATTTCTTGACAAATTATATGTTACACAGTATGCCATAATATCAGGTAGAGATATCCTTTCTATTTTATTCTTTTAAAAATTGTTTTAGCTATCATTGGTCCTGTGCCTTTCTATATTAGTTTTAGAATAACCTTGTCAATGTTTTAAAAAATCTTGCTGGGATTTTTATAGGAATTAAATTAAACCTACAGATCAACTTGGGAAAATTGATATCTATGGTATGTTGAGACTTCTCATCCATTGTATATGAAGGGGGAAGCCCCCCCAAACCTGGAATTTATTTATTAAAAAATGTATATTTATTCTTACATGTTTAAACTTCAGTCACTTTCAAAGTACTCTCTGTTTAATGCAGTATACTTATTGAGATGCTTTTTCCACTGCTCAAAACAGTTTTTCAACTCGTCAATTTTGATGCCTTTTAGTGCTTCTGCCATTTTTTGTTTCACCTCTTCCACATCTACAAAACATTTTCCTTTGTTTCCTTCATGGGGAAACAAACAAACAAAATCACTTGGGGCAAGATCTGGTAAATAGGGAAGATGGGGCATGAGGGTCATGCTGCTTTTGGTCAAAAACTGCTGAACACTTAGCAGTGTGGGCAAGTGCGCTTGTAGATCACTCATCATGAATTGGGCAAACGCGTTGAAAGAATCTTCAAAAAAAAGCTCACTGAAGCCCTTTACAGTTATACTAGCTGGCTCACTGATGCCCATGGTTCCTAGAACACTTACCTAGTGGGGGACGCCCATACTACAAGTAGCCCATCCTCAAACTAATAATTCTGCTTTTTTTTGGGTCCCCCCTCATATCTGTTCATTTATCAACACATTATTAACAGTTTAGTCATTAACATATTAATTAGCCCTAACCCTAATCCAAAGGTCTTCTTTGATTTCTTTTATCAACTTTAAAAATATAGATCCTGTACATGTTTTTATAATTTTTTTACCTAAGTAGTCATTTTCTTGGATATTGTAAATTATATTGTTTATTATTTCAATTTATACATGTTCATTGTTAATATATAAAAATTGACCTTATTTTTTGAGTGTTGATCTTATATCCTGTGATCTCACTGAAATTACTTACTGATTTGAAGAGGAGTTTTTTTTTTTGTCAATTTCTTGAAATTTTTTGTAGCCAATTATGCCTTTTGCAAATAGGGGCCATTTTATTTCTTCCTCTCCAATCTGCGTGCCTTTGATTCTTTTTTCTTGCCTTATTGCAGTAGCTAGAACTTATGCTGTTAATGTGGAATACAAGTAATAAGATTAGTCATGCTTATTTGTTTCTGATCTTCAGGGGAATTTATTCAGTTTTCACTATTTAGTATGATGTTAACTGTAGGTTTTTGGTATCTGCTCTTCATTAAGTTGAGGAAGTTTCCCTCTATTCCTAACTTGCTGAGAGTTTTTTTTTTTTTTTTAAAGCATGAATAGGTTTTGATTTTGGCAAATGCTTTGTCTATGTCTATGTTCACATGGTTTTTCTTCTTTTGCATTAATATGATGGCTTATATTGGTTTTTTTTTAAGTTGGAGTCTCACTCCTTTGCCCAGGCGGGAGTGCAGTGGCATGCATGCTCATGGTCACCCCAGCATCAACCTGCTGGACTCCGGCGACCCTTCGTCTCAGCCTTCCGAGTAGGTGGAACTACAGATGCATGCCTGGCTATTTTTTTTTTTTTTTAATTGTAGAGACGCAGTCTCGCCAAGTTGCTCGGGCTGGTCTAGAACCCGCGGGCTCAGGCAGTCCACTTGCCTTGGCCTCCCAAAGTGCTGGGATTACAGGCTGAGCCACCAAGCCCGGCCTTTTTTTTTTTTTTTTTTAATGTTGAATCAGCCTGACATACCTGGAATAAATCCCAATTTATATGATGTGATCATGGTATATAATTCTTTGTGACCATTATTTATTTGGTTTGAAAATATTTGATTAAGGATTTTTGTGTCTGAGTTCATGAGATCTGTTGGTTTGTATTTTTCTTTTCTTTTCTTTTTTGGTCTGCCTGTTTGGTTTTGGTTTCAGTGCATACTAGTCTTACAAGATGAATAGATAAGTGTTCCCTCCTCTGTCTTATTTAAAAAAATGAAAAAAAATATATCGATATGTTAAATGTTTGCTAAAAATCTCCAGTAAAACCATCTGAGCCTGTAGTCTCCTTTTGTGGAGACTTTTAATTACAAATTCAATTTTTGGATGGTTATAGGATATTTAGATTATGTATGTCATCTTGGTTGAGTTTTAATAGCTTTTAGTTTTGGAGGAATTGATCCATTTTTTTCTTCTTATTTTCATTTCTTCTAAGTTATGGAAAATGTGAGTGGAATGTAGTTTGTAGTAGGCTCCATTATTCTTTTAATGACTTTTGAATATGTAATGATATCCCGTTTCATTCCTGATATTGATGACTTGTGTCATCTCTGTTATTTTTTTCTTCCTATAAATTTATTAGTTTTATTGATCCTTTTGAGGCATCAACTTTTTGCTTCATTGATTTCCTATTGTTTTCTTATTTTCAGTTTCATTGATTTTTTGCTCTTTATTTTTTCATTCTTTCTGTTTACTTTGGTTTATTTTACTTTTTCTAGTTTTTGGTGTAGGAACTTAGATTATAGATTTGAGACCTTGCCTCTTTTCTAATGTAAGCGTTTTGTGTTGTAAGTTTTACTTTTAGTACTCCTTTAGTTGTATCCCATATATTTTGATGTATTGTATTTTTATTAGTCCTATAAATTTTTAAAAATTTCCTTGGAGATTTCCTCTTTGACATATGAATTATTTATGTGTGCTGTTTAAGTTCCAAGTATTTAGAGATTTTCTTGACTTTCTGTTATTGGTTCCATTGTGGTCAGAAAATATATGTTATATGATTTCATCTCTTTTAAATTTGTTGAGATTTTTTCTCTGGCTCAGGATATGGTTCATCTTGATGAATATTTTATAGGCATTTGAATATATATATATATATTTCTATTATTATTGGGTGGAACATTCTATAATGTGAATCTTGTTTGCTGATTTTGTTGTTCAGGTCTTCTGTATCCTTGCACATTTTCTGTCGGTTGTTCCATCAGTTGCTGAGAGGTGGGTGTTGAAGTCTTCAACTAGAATTATGGATTTGTCTGTCTCTTCTTTCAGCTCTTTCAGTTTTTAATTCATATACTTTGAAACTATGCTGCTTGGTATGTAATTCTGGAGGATCATTATGTCTTTCTGGGGTCTTAATCCTTTTATTGTTATGTAATGTCCTTATTTGTCTTTAGTAACTTTCTTTGCTCTGAAATCTACTTTATCTGATATCAGTATAGCTACTCTGCTTTCTTTTTTGTGTTAATATTTTCATGATATATATTTTTCACCCATTTACTTTTAACCTATGTATGTCATTGAATTTGTGGAGCGTCTTATAAATAGCATGTAGTTAGGTCTTGTTTTTTTTTAATCTACTTTGTCGATTACTGTCATTTAATTGGTATATTCACATAATTTGTATTTAAGGTAATTGCTGATATCATAGAAGTCTTCACTTTCATTATTTTTCTGTTTCTTTCCTCTAGTTTTCACTACTCTGTTTCTCTTTCTTGGCTTCCTATGGGTTACTTAAACATTTTTAGTATTCCATCTTAGTTTGTTCATGTTTTTAAATATATTGCTTTATGGAATTTTCCTAGTGGTTGTCTGAGTGTCACTATATACATATCTGACTTATCATAGCCTGCTGCAATCAACATTTTACCACTCAGGATGAAGTGTTGACATTTTAATTCCACTTAGGTTTCTTTGTCCTATCTTCTTTTGAATATCATTGTTGTAGGTGTCCGATGCTATTTTCATTTTTTGTTTCAGTGATTCCTTTTTTTTTTTTTGAAAGCAGGATTTATTGAGAGGACAGAAAAGCTCCCAGAGCGGGAGGGGACCCGAAGGGATTGCCCTATCTGTGTCACACAAGTCATGAAGGGTTGATTAGGTTAACTTGGGTCTTATGGGTGAAGTGGGATTTGGACCTGGGGGAGTCTGGGCCAAAAGAAATGTCCAGGGCTGTGGTCTTTGATGTTGATTGTAGCCACATGAGTCTTAGATCTTGACATAGCCAGACATTAGCATTTCATGACCTCGGATGGTGAGCTACATGGGAGGAGACAAGGGGAGGGGTTTTTCCTACAAGAGACCTGTCAGATGTTTCCAATTCACAAGCTCCTTAGCAAGAAGGTGGTCTTATTATCATTTCTACAGCTTCAGCTAGCTAAGCGGTGATCTTTGACCTTCTGCCTTCCACAAGGAACCTGAAAGTTTCTTAGAGATTACTATGCTAAACCATGAATTGAAAGGTTGAGCTGTCCTTGTCCTGCATCTGACGGAGATTTGCTGAGGAGGTGGGGTAGGCTGCCAGCTTATCCTGCAGTAAAATGTCTGAACACTTCCTAAAACCTGCCTGTTGGAAATGTATCTATCTATGTCTAACCTGTGTTAGATTCAAAGCATGTCAGTCTAAGCACAAATGGCTATGCTGAGGCAAAATATGAATTAAATTTATTCTAAGTTTCTCAGAGCCCCTCCTTTCATTAACAAATAAGCAATACTAGGGAATTAGTCACATGACTTCTGGTATATACATGGCACATGAGTAAAGCTTAATGATTGAGGGCACAAGCTCTCAAACCCACCTGGAGCCTACCTGGCTGGGTTCAGATACCAGCTCTGTTCTTACCTTGTGATTGTCACACACTTTCCTAACCTAAATATTAGTGTCTTCAGCTGTAAAGTGGTAAAAATAATAGTACCTACTTCACAGAATTGTGAAGAGTAAATGAGACAATGTATTTAAAGCTCTTAACACAATGCTCAGAACATAAGTACAACATAAATGTCACCTGTCAGGAAAATCATGATGACAGGATGCAGACTTAAACAAAAAGATGAAAACAGAGAAATGCTCAAAATATGTTAACTAAAGAAACAAGGTTTAAACTATACATAAAGTATGATTTTAATTTTGTGTTTAAAAAAATAAATAGGAAAAAGATGGAAGACATTAACGGAAGATGAATGGTTCAGAGCATTTGGCTTTTAAACAGACAGACTTAGACTTTAAAACTGGTTCTATAACTAGCAATGTGATCTTGTTCAAATAACGTAGCTTCTCTGGGCCTTAGTTTCCTCATCTGGTAGGTGGGAGTAATAACTGAGATGTTATGATGATGAAACTGAGTTTATAGATGTAAACTATTTAGCACATGCTTGATATATGGTAGCTACTAATAAATGCTAGCTATTTGAACATTTTTCTTAATGGTCCTCTTAATGATCCATACTTTCCAAATTATCTTCAGAGAACTTATAATCACTTAGTAATATGGTTCCGAGTATACTAGAGTGTGAAACAGAACAATGGAAACTCAATCAACATGTTTACATATGCACTCGCAGCCTAACAATGAAATTTGATCATGAACAGATTAGTTGAAATACAGCAAGCTCAAGACTAGCAAAGGTGAAGAATGTTGACCAGTTGGGTAGATGGCATCAAAGAGACCCATTTAGGGAAAAGGAAGAGATAAACATAGAAAAAAAAACAATTCCTCCAAGTAGACATTTGTGAATTCAAAATCAGTTTAATTATCTTGGACACTTGCATTACAAAACAGGGATTTTCCTTTTTCCTGTATTTTTTAAAGGCTATCTTGGTGATCCAAAAAGAAATGTCAAGATGCTTAATACTCATATGCTGGCCGCACAAAAGAAGGCCAAACCTAACCACGCAGCCTGTTACTTGGTTCGTATTTTGCTCTCCAAGGAAATCCTGATTTCCAACTCAGTGAATGTCAATTTGCAAGGCTACCAACTCCTAGATCCAAACAAAATGGCTGCAATAAGAGGTATGCATATGTAAGGTTATAATGGAATCTTGTTTTAATCATCGTTTGGTCATATGATGAATATTATTGGCAGTTGAAGAAATAATGATGAAGTTTGTGTAAATCTTAGAACTGTTAATTTTTTCTATCTGATTTTACTGTTGAATAATATGCAACTGTTAACAACTTCTAAAAAATAAAACTTGTCCATTGACTTAAATAGTTGAATAAGACAAATCTTACTGATTATAGTTGTTTATGGCTAGTGCTAAGTCAATTCTTTACTGCTGAAACTTGCTACTAAAAAATAAGGGAAACTGCCCTCCCCACAAAGGTGGGGAAATGAAACAGACTCTTTAGTGCTTGTGACTGGTAACACAGAAATAGGATCTTATGATTAGTCCTTTTAGCCTCCTGCCTTCCTACCCAGAACTCATGGGGACTGAGGATATCACAGTCGATAAGTATTTCTCTTCACAAGGAGCTCGCAGTCTAGAAAGGGAAACGATAGTAACAGACACATTCCTTTCTAAGTGTGGTAGTGTTGGGGATGCTCAGAGCAAAGCAGCTGCTATGAGGGAATTGGGGAAGGCTTGGCTAAGGACAAGACATTTGAGCTGTACTCTGAAGGACTCCGTAACTAGGTATAAGGATTAGGAGGGGTGTTCTAGGCAGAGGGAATAACTTCTGGGGAAGATAGACATGATGAGTTGCACAGATAAATAGACTCTGGTGTAATAATGTTTGCAATAACACTATTTTCTCTTTGCGCGTTTCCTTTTCTTCTCAGTCGTAATTTATCCATCAGGTTATTAAATGGTCTTAGCACATGAAAGAGCTGACTTTTGATTATACTTTTTTTTATTTTTTTTGAGTTGGAGTCTCACTCTGTCACCCAGACTGGAGTGTAGTGGCCGCTCCTGGCCACCGCAGCCTCAACCTGCTGGGCTCTGGCGATCCTTCCGCCTCAGCCTTCCGAGTAGCCAGAATTACAGGCATGCACTACCATGCCCGGCTGATTTTTTTTATTTATCGTAGAGATGAGGTCTCGCTGCCCAGGCGGGTCTTGAACCCACGGGCTCAGGCAATCCACTCACCTCAGCCTCCCAAAGGTGCGAGATTACAGGCTGAGCCACTGAGCCCGGCTTGTTTTTTATTTTAGAGACAGTATCTTGCTCTGCTTTCCAGCCTGGAGTGTAGTGGTACAATCATAGCTCACTGTGTAACCTCTAACTCCTGGGCTCAAGTGATCCTCCTCCCTTGGCCTCCCAAAGTCCTGGGATTTCAGGCCTGAGCCACCACATCTGGCATACACACTAAACAACAACAACAACAACATCAGCAACAACAACAACAACAACAACAACAACAAACCACCAAAAGCTTAGTTTTGGCTCCCTAGGTCAATGTTTTAGAGAATCTCACAGTAGAGGAAATGAGATAATTTTGCAAAGCATCCTTATTGGGTGAAATTTCTAAACTCTCAGAGTTAGAGAGAAGAATGATAAGTAGAAAGAGAAGAAGTCAGTATTTATTTTAAATACAAATGTCTTGTTAATTTCTTTGTTAATTTTTTGTTCTAATTTTTGTGAATACTTTCTGCTGTTTGCAGAATATCTGGCAACAATTTTTCCCACCTGTGATTTGAGTGAAGATGGAAAAGACTGGGAAGAGTGTTTGTCTGATATCAGTGCTCTGATCCGATATTTATGTTCTAAAGTCAAAAGAACTCCAGTAAGTTTTCAACTAAATACGGTAACTGTCGCATAAGTCCATACCATATGCAACTCCAGAACTGATAGCATGACACTCAGGATCTTCAGGCCATGTGCTAAAAATCTCATTTACTTAATTTAGGGGACATAGGGTGTTCTTTCAAAAGCATACTGCCATTTATTTTCCTTTTTCTGATATTATGCTCTATAAAATATCCTAAAGATAAATCAAGTATAATGTTTTAATGAGTATTATTTGAAGCCAGGGAAATACTAGAAGAAAGTTTCAGCTACAAAGATATTTGGCAAATCTTTTTCAGTATCTTACCAAGGAACACAAAAAGGAGCCTGCTGTTGTTCCTTGGCTGTTTCAGTGATAGTTGAGGAGGTACAGAAGAAAATGCAGGCACTTCATTACTTGTTCATGTTCCATGGTGGTAGAACCTGGTGAGAAAAACGCATGTCATGAGGTTAAAGATGGCAGATATTTAATACTCTGTATAGTTATGTGGTAACAGGAAGCTGGTTTCTCTCTCATCCATTTTAATCTTCAAAGTATGTTAGAATTTTTTTTTTTTTAAAAGCATAGATGGGTCATTAGGGCGGAGTGTCATATCTATCATCTTCTGAAGAAGCATTTATTTTAATGACAATTCCTAATTTCCTCCAATCTCTCTAAAAAAAAAAAAAACCCCATTTCATTCGTACCATGTCTAGTCACTCCTGTGTCTCTAGAGTACGTTTATGGAAACTATTTGCCAAGACTATTTGTAGCTGAGCGTATGTTTTCCTGGTGAATGGATTGATTTCAGTGATAGCTCAACCACCATCTGTCTGAAACTAAGTCTGCTTATTTTTAACATTTCATTTTTTAGCCTTCAAAAATTGCATCCGAAAAAATTTGAATGTAAAATTAAGATGCTGCCTGGAAAATGATAATTTGCATTTTTGCTTAGGTGTCAGAAGACAAGAGAAGCGGTGCCTGCAATGTGCTTGACGAGGAATGGGGCAGGTCCTCGCCACTCCAAGTGGGTCTACCACCCAGCAGCAGTGGCCCTGGCAAGCTTGTGAGAAATGCAAAGTCTTGCATTCCACTCCAGACTCACTCAGGCAGAGATTCCTCAACCTGAAATAGTTTGTGTGCTCATTAAAGTTGGAGAAGCCACACCCTAGAGCAGTGGTTGTCAACCCAGGACGACGCATATTAGAATAACTTTAAAAAATAGTTATTAATGTCCTGAGCACCCCTTTGCCACCACCAGAGGAGATCCTGGTTGAATTTGCCAAGGGTGGGGCCCCGCACAGTCATTTCTTTTTAAAGATCCTTAGGGTAATTCAAATGTGCAGCCACACTTGAATGCCACTAGGGAAAGAGAAAACAAAGAAAACGTGAAAAAGAAACAAAAAGTTATCATCCTCAAGCAATTCATTTCTTCGTTTATTCATGAAATGTTTATCATGCACTTCATTTGTGCAGGTGGTTGTCGTTCAGTTTGTTAGACAGCTACCAAGGTCCCTCAAGAAGCAGTAGATCATGGTGGGTTGAAGAGGAATCCACACCTGTCCTTTTCAGATGATGTCGTGGCACACAGCATCCTGTGGCTTCAACCCACCTTATTAGAGGCAGTTGCTTCTCTAGTAACCTGGGGGTCTGGTAGATGATGGCGCACAGAAACATTTTCTCACTATGGGAGTTTGTTTATAGATAGGGTTTTGTGTTTTCGCAGAAAACTGTTGTCAAAAATAAAGAACTTGCCAACCCTGGTACATCAACGCCTGCAGATTCCAATGATGAAAGGGGTGGAAATGGCGGTGAAGGCAGTTCTCAGTTATCTTTACAAACAAGTACCTCAGAAATGAGAGAACATGGGACTCTAGGGCAGAATGGTAATACTGTCCCTGAAGAAATGAAAGAACCTGCCACTGATAACTCACCAGTGACTCAAGACAAAATGGGTGAGTTTTAACAAGAAGTTCTCTTGCTGATAAAACATCCGGCCAATGCGTGTATGGGGCTTATTGTACTATTCTCTCTATTTTTATGTATGTTTGAAAATTAGTAAGATAATGAAATATACAGGTGCTTAGTTCTGAGACTGTTCTGAGACGGACTGTTTTTTAAACATTAAGCCGAATCTGTTATTTTCCTGAGGAAAACAGTTCTGTGCTGACTCATGAGCTGGGGGGCGGGGGCATTCTGATGAGGCACCGTCTGCAGGTGAAGGGCAGGGCAAGGGGCTGCAGTTCTTGTTCCCTGTGTGCTTGGCACATTGCATGTGCTCAATAAGAATTTTTGGCATGAATTAATGAATCCCATACCTCAGAACATTGTACTACTACTGCTAAGTTGTCTGCAGAAGGCACATCCTGCTTTGATTAGTGTCAAGTGGTAGTGACTATGCCACCTGGCACTCATGCTTCCCAGTGTCTCCTCCCAGGATGTTGGGTTTTAGCATCACCACTGCTAATGAGTGGCACCTGAATTAGCAAAACTTCATTATTTCTCTACCCTGCTCAAATACTAACCCGAAGTAGAATATTATGTGGGATCCTGTTCACGCAGAATTATTGAAATGCTATATCGCTATATATTTTTTCCACTACAAAAGTAATCTAGCTACTGTATTTGTTAAGGTTGTACCCTACAGAAACAGACTGGCTAAATTAAACAACAGCAAAAATCACCAGATGCATAGCTCCTAAATTTAAAGAAGCAAAGAACAAACCAAGCTCCACGCAGGCAGGAGCCAGAGCAGCCTCAAGACTGCATGAAAGAGAGGCTCATCTGGGGAGCCTGGGTCACATGTCTCCAACCTTGACTTAGCTATAACAAGGGGACAGGACAACTGAGTGCACTGTGAACCAAGAAGCCACCACATTTAGTGTGTAGTCTATTACACCATTTTTCTTAGCAAATTAGAAAATATTTTTAAGAGGGGGAAAAATCTCCCACAACCAAGACACCTTATAAAACTGTGATGGGTGTTTTCATTTTCCCCCAGTTTGTTTTTTCTTATGAACATCTGGAAAAATTAAGGTCTTCATATAATTACTCTCTCTAACATTATAATACATGTGTTTTTTCCTCAAGAATCTACACTCTTCATAATCATTGCTATAATAGGTTTATAGCATTCCATTGAGTAAGTGCACCTCAATTTATTTAACTACCTCCCTCTCTCTTCGTTTCTTTTTTGTCATTGTTTTGTTTTTTGGGTTTGAGGATTTTTTGGAAGGGGATTATAAATCACACTGTAAAAAAAAAAAACCTCTTCATTCAGATAGCTTTTTTCATATTTTGGATTATTTTCTTAAGTTAGGTTCCCAGAAATTGAATTACCAGGTTAAAGAGTATTAACCTTTTTTCTGACCCTTAGTAAATATTGCTAGACTAATCTCCTAGAGTTAAGTCTTTAGATCCATTAAATGCATTTCTAAATAATCTCTTGCTAAATACTGAAGCTGGATGATTCAACAATTTTATACTTCCATCCATGAAATGATGGATGTTCCAAGATGAAAAATGTGCTTATTGGCTTATGAGAATCATATTTCTATAATATATTTTCTCCAATAAAATATTCTTTATTATATGTAAACTATTATATTTTTCAAATATGGTTAATTTGAATCACTATGGAGTGAAGAAAGATGATGATGATTAAACTGTAGAGTTGAGAATGAAGAAAATATTAAATTTTATTTTTCACTTCAAATAAGGTTTCTAAAATATGATATCTAAGATGATCCAGCAGTTTGTTGATTTTTAAATGATGAGTCTAATACTAAATAGAAAACCTACATTTTAAAATATTATTTAGGCTGGGCTCGGTGACTCAGCCTGCAATCCCGTGCTTTGGGAGGCCGAGGTGAGTGAATTGCCTGAGCCCGCAGGTTCGAGACCCGCCTG